AAAAAAAAAAAAAAAAAGTAGGTTCATTAATCTACCCTTTTATCTTATCATCTCTATATCCTCCTATATATCTAATCATATCCCCTTTTTCTCGCAGATCCACCTGCCTCTGCCTCCTGGGTGCTGGGATTAAAAGTGTGAGCCACTACCTGGCTCTGCCTCTCATTTTTAACCAAATTCTAGCATGTTGAACTTCCTATATCATTGTTTAGACTTCTTTTCCAGTAAATTAAAGATACGTATGCCAGAGCAGAAAATTAACATGCAAGATGCATGCAAATTAAAAGTCACAAATAAGTTTCTTGAACTAGTTTTTAAAATACCCTCTTACTCATTTAAAAGATTCCTTTAAAGATGACCATGGTGATGACTTGAAAGCTTTCTGGGGTTTTCCTTGGAGGTAGCAATATAAAGTTGTGACCAACATGCAGATTGGAAAGTTTATCATGTCTTCAGCATGACTCCGTTAAAGTCTGATCAACTTCCCTCAAACCAAGGTTTCTAGATCTATGTGCATCACCGAGTTATGAACCACATAAGGGAACTCTTCTCAAGCATCAGCATTGTCTTACTATTTTTTGTCTTACAAATAATTGTCTTACTATTATTTACTAGTTTGATTATCTGGCTGTAGAATTGTGTGTGAAGGAACTATATATTGACAGACAGGAAAATGAAGTATTTGGGCTAGAAAGACTCTTTAGGAGTATGGTGCTCTTGCCAAAGACTGGAATTTACCTCGCAGTATCCCTATAGGGCAGCTCCAGGAAGTCTAATGCCTTCTTCTTGCCTCTTCTGGTGCTGGGCTCATGTGCACAAACCTACATCCAGATGTGTAATATATACACACTTAATGAAAAAATAAATCCTTAAAAAAAAAGGGAAGAAAGACAGAAAAAGAAACTTCTCTAGCATATCTCATATACACCTGTCTGATTAACCTTGATTATAGCAACCTTCCAGGCCTAAGCTAGTCCTCTGTGTCTTTCTGGTTGAATTGGTAAAATAATAATAATGATAATAATAATAATAATAGTAGTAGTAGTAGTAGTAGCCAGTCCTCTGTGTCTTTCTGGTTGAATTGGTAATAATAATAATAATAATAATAATAATAAATAAAGGTCTCCAAGAGCCTCACCTGACTTGCACAGAGGGCTTAGGTCTTCTCCAGCTTCACGGAGAATTCTTCAAGGAGACTCAAACAGAGTCACAGTGTTGTTCACAACAACCTGGTCAATGGAAACTTGAATAGGTGATTTTTTATTATTAGTATTATTAGTCTCCTTTAGTGCTAAAAGTAATGGTAGAAACAGAGCAGGAGTCAAGAGACATCTCAAGCACTCTCGACCCATCTTTACATATTTAAATCAGTACATTATTATTTCAAATTTATACAGAAACAAACAACTACATGGCTAAATAATTTCAGTGAAGTAGGATATTATGAGGTCAAGATGTGAGCCCCGAGTCTCTTCTGGCTCTATGGAAAATTAAAAAGTTCTGCAATTCTGGCTATAAATTTTTATTCACAGACAAGTATAATTATCACAGCCGCTCGCTGACACTCAAGTATGTTATGAACACCATCGAAGCTATTTACATCATCTCGTTATTATATTAACCCAAGTCTCAGCACTTGACCATGGTGACAGCTGAAACTTGCCTTTTGCTGTGAACCCACCTGGATACAAAGGTGGTCTTTTCACTAGATTTGCCCTTTTGCACCAACTAAAAACTGGAAAAAAAATGAGATTATGGTACATAATAGAAAATTTAACACTTTTATCCCTCTTAGATAGATATATAGCTTTGCTCTTACATCTTATTTTTTTTCGCCAAAAATAGGAAGAAAACTCAAGTATGAAATAACTTGCTTAGATGAATAAGCTCTTATTTATTTTAGCCAGCAGATCTATTTAAATATTCTTCTCAGAGAAAATTTGTCTTCCTTACTTACTAAATATATATCCTATAATAACAACTGTCTTCTAGAAAATATAAATGAAGTTATTATTTAAATGTGGTAATGGGCTGTCTGTTTCTGTTTGTTGGCAGTGACTATTATTTCAGCTGGCTCACATGGGTGACCGATGAACGAATATGTTTGCAGTGGCTAAAGAGAGTACAGAATGTCTCTGTCTTGTCTGTGTGTGAATTCAGGGAAGACTGGCATTCATGGGATTGTCCAAAGGTAAGGTGTATTAAAACCACTGGCAACTATTTCTGAAGATGAAAATACAACAGGTGCTTCTTATTTGTAGGTCACATATTGTATTGTAAAGTAGAATTTGGTGCATTCAATTGCCAAGTCTTATTTAAAACAACACATCCCATGTTCACAGCAATTCCAGCATTTTGATTACATACAGCATAGCAGTTGTTTTCTTAGACTGCTTTTACTTTGAATATAGAAAAATACTAAATAAGACAATATGACATTAGGATGGTGATCTTCTGGTTTGAGATTGTCAGGTTAGCAGTCAACAGAAGCAAAATAAACGAGATAAGACATAGAATGAATGGGCCTATTAGGGAAATAGCTGTTTCACACAAAAATGGAGAAGAAATGAAAATTAGAGTTGTATCTTGTCAAAATTGAAAAATAAATTATAAAAGGGATTCAAATATTACCTATTTTTTAAAACAAAGGTAGGTGCCTGATAATAGGATATGAACTATTAGATTATTATGTTGTTGTTTGTTTTTGCTCTTTTGGGGGCCCACCACCCAGCTCCCAAATAAATCACAGGCAGAGGCTTATTCTTAATTATGAATGCCCAGCCTTAGCTTGGCTTGTTTTTTTCCAGCTTTTCTTAACTTGAACCCGTCTGTCTTTTGCCTCTGGGCTTTTACCTTTCTCTATTTTTGTATGCCTTTCTTTCTTACTCCTTTGCTGGTTGTGTAGCAAGGTGGCTAGCCTCTTTTGCCCTCCTCCTCTGGCTCCTAGATCTTCCTCTCCTCCCATATTTCTCCTTCTATGTATTCTCTCTGCCTGCCAGCCCCACCTATCCTTTCTCCTGACTTACCATTGGCCATTCAGCTCTTTATTAGACCAATCAGGTATTTTAGACAGGCACAATAACACAGCTTCACAGAGTTAAACAAATGCAACATAAGCAAAAATAACACACTTTAAGATAATATTCCCCAAAATTATTATGCACATTATGCAGCTGTCCAGTTATCTTTGGAGAGCGCCCCCTACTGTACCAATCTGAAGGTGGGGAGCTTGAAAATAAGATACAAATTTACCACTGAGCTTCAATTGCTTTACTGTTCAAATTCAAAAATAATCAGCTGAAATTAATGAGTCAAAAACTACTTCACCAGTCTAAATCATTAAAATACACCTGTTTTAAGTACTCATTTTAGAGACTAAAAAGTCAACTTTTTCTTTAAATAGGAAATATTGATGAGTACATTTTGAGAAATTTGAAGAAATATTTCATTAAACCAAATGTAGAGCAAACTTATTTTATGAAGTTAAAGTCCAGATCAAAGTAAGTTATTAAATTCCATCTAGAAATTAGAACATTTTATTTTATAAGGAGAACATTTTATTCTGTTGGTAAATATATCAGGGCTATAGTAGTCAACATTACTTAAGCTAAAAATATTTTTCAGTCATTAACTTGTCAGAAAGAGTTTTGACTAACTAAGAAAATTTGCTAGACACTGAGTTTGTCTCATTTATGTCTTTATAAACAAAGCAAAGAGAAAAGTTTTAAGTCGGATCACTGGCAAAACCTGATCTTAATTAAACTAGTTAATTAGATCACACTGGTCTGATTGACTGGCTGTGGCTGGATATATTTTCACCACTTCCTGAATGTAAGCATTATGAACTCCGCTTTAATTTAGCATAGCTTAGCAACTATGAGCACAAACAAAAACAGATTCATTTTTAATCTGAAATTATAGTTTATCAAAACATGAGACAATTTCAACCTAAATGGACAGAACATATAAAATGTCCCCACAATGAGGAACAGAAGTTCCTGAAAAATAACCTTTATGGCTAGAAAAGTAATTGCATTTAGAATATCTAACTATGAGTTAGAATTAGCTCATAGTTTTCCAGTGGCCATGCTAATGAAAAATGTATTTGTGTTTTGAAAACCAGTAAGGTTTGAGAATAATCAGTCTATGTTTTATTCATGTTGCAAGGCATGAAAGAGGTAAAGGGACTGGCAACAGCTATTTATTATATAACAATATTGGTGATATTAATTAAGAAATTCACTGTTTGCTGGACAGTGATGGCACACACTTTTAATCCCAACATTTGGGAAGCAGAGGCAAGCAGATCTCTGAGTTCAAGGCCAGCCTGGTCTACAGAGGGAGTTCCAGGACAATCATGGCTACACAAGGAAACCCTGTATCAAAAAAGGGGAAGTTATAGCTTAATGAACAATTATTTTATATATTATTCTTGTCTCTCTAAAAATGGACTAAAATAATTTTTATCTTCATTACTGAAAATACTCAAAATCTTTTTTTTCCCAATTTTGCATTTCTTTTTCTCTGTGAAGCATTAGTAACCACCATAGAAGATAATCCAAACTCCTCTTAAAATTGTTTTTGTCTTCATGCCTTGTTTGAAGACTACATATTCTCAAGGTCTTCTTTTTATTTTGACTGTGTGCGCTCGCGCTTGTGTGTGTGTGTGTGTGTGTGTGTGTGTGTGTGTGTGTGTGTGTGTGTGTGTGTGTGTGTTCGGCGGGTGGGGTGCACACATGTGTGTTCACACACAAGTGTAAAAGCCAGAGGACAACCTCAGGTGCCATCCTTGGGAATGTTGACCATCTCCTTTGTACAAAACCTCTCATGACCCTGAGTTTAGCATTTAGACTAAATTGGTACTGAAGCAAGCATCCACCAGGCTCGAGGGAACGGTGCTGAGGTTACAGGTGCATACCACCACACCTCCTAGCATTTTTAACATGAATTCTGGGGCTGGAACTCAGGTCATCATGCTTGCAAGGCAAACACCTTTCCAAAAAGTCATTCTCACAGCCCCTGTCCTTTTCTTGCCTAGGCAAATCATGCTTATCTAGAATTTTGTTTCTTTTTGAAATTCTAATATATGTACAGCGAGTCTCCCTTCTCTTTCTTCCCTCCAAACACTTCCATATACCCCTCCCCACTTTCCTTCAAGTTCATGACCTCCTTCTTCTTTGTTATTGCATGCACATATGTACATACATATATGGTCTTCAAGAGAACCTGGTCAGCCTGTATAATGTCCCTTGTTTGTGTGTTTTCAAGGCTATTTGTCACTGGACAACCAATCAGTGTGCTTTTTTCTGGGGAAGGCCACCAGAACTCCCAGCTTTCCTGAGTTGCCTATAGTTTTTCTTGTGTGTGTGTGTGTGTGTGTGTGTGTGTGTGTGTGTGTGTGTGTGTGTGTAGGGGGAAGGCCTCGTGGACTTTTCCCCAACTGTTTTGTCATGTCCGTTGGTGTCATCCTAGTTGAGCTCAAGTTTGGGTGGTCATGCTGACCACCTACTTAGAAACCTTATTCTCTAGGTGAGACATTTCCACAGCAGGCCAACAGCACTGCTTTAGGAGGAAATTCCAGTGCTTAAGGCTTAATACAGTAGGAATTTATGGTTCATTTATAAAAACCAATAGCAAGCCCAAGAAAACGAGATGTGGTGTGGAATGGGTCCTCTGCTCCATAATATAATTCAGAAACCCAGCTGATGGCATTTCTGTTATCTTACTGTGTGGTTCTAAGTCATTAACATTCATCTGCAGCAAGGAAAAAGAATGGAAGGTGGGTTCTGCATGGGATGTTTTTATGGGAAGGGCTACAGGGAGCTTGTTTCCCTTTCTGTTCACATACTTTTTCTAGACCCTATCACATGACTACATCCTGTAGATGTAACCAACCGTCTTATTAAATAAGAAACACAGAAACAATGCAAAGAAGAAAGCCAAGAAGTCAGAGCTAAGAGCTAAAACCTTACCCTTCCTCCTGCGGTGGTCCTACCTCTCCAAAAGAGAGCTACTTCCTGTGTTAAAGTCTTTATAAAGACTTTTGGTTCTGCCTTCTCATTGGTTGTAAACCCAGCCACATGACCGCCTCGTCACTGCCTGTCTGTAAAGACCTCCAGGTCTTCTATGGTTGGTATTGAGATTAAAGGCATGTGTCTCCAAGCTGTATCCCTGAACACACAGAGATCTAGCTAGCTCTGCCTACCAAGTGCTGGGATTAAAGGCATGCACCACCACTGCCCAGCTTTCCAATGGCTTGCTAATAGCTCTGACCCCCAGGGAACTTTATTTATTAACACACAAATAACATTTTAGTACAAAATAAAATATCATCATAACATCCCATTAGAAGGGAAGCTGGGAAATGTGGCTCAGCTACAAAAAAAGTCCTTTGTCAAATTATCCTGCCGGTTCTTTCATAACTGTCCACTTAACTCCCTCCAGGTGGTCTTTATTCATACCACAGGTTTGCAGAACTGTTTGTCTATAACTCTCAGAAATTATTTCTGATGATGTGAACTTTTGTTAACGCCTGCGCTCTGTCCCCACTACTGTGCCCTTGACCTGGGTCTTTATCAGTATTTCCTAGATATTAGCACTGTAGGTGGCACCTTGATCTCATCCCACCACACCCGCCAAATCCACGTTGTCTCTCGTGTTTACAACTATATTTTCCATATTTGGCAAGTGAAGTCCTTCAAAGAATTTATCCACAGACATTCAACATTCCTGGATGGCACAGGAGTTTATTTGAGATCTTGCTGATGTCTATGTCTTCCTCTCTTCCAAATTCCCTGTGGCCACTTTCCTGTCCACCCACTGCAGTTACTACAGTATATATACCTATTAATTCAACTCAGAATGCTTTTTATTTGTCTAGAAAAGAGTACTATTTACCTTTTAAGTTTTCTAAATATTTATTAAAGAAGCGATGCTTCTTCACTTTGCTAAAACCTAAAATTAAGGGTTTAGGTTTCTAGTTACCCCATCAGAGAAGAAAGAGTACAACCTCAACTTCACAACAGAATTCCCTTTTCTCTCTGTTACACCATGTACTTGGTTTGGGCTGAGCTTCCACAGAGTGCAATAATTCTAATACCTGTAGAGTGGAGGGGTTGAGAACAAATTCTGAAATTGGGTCCCACACTAATTTGTCCATAGAGACTCGGCAGTACTGCTCTGAAATGACATTTGTAAAGTCTCCTGAACTGGAGGCTGAGCAGTAGGACACGCTGATGAGGTGGCTTAACAGTTCAAAATGTCCAGCTTACACTTTTGAAAACCTGTTCCTTTTATGCTTTAATACAACCTTTTTTTTCCTTTTAGACCTGGGAGCATATAGAAGAAAGCAGAACTGGATGGGCTGGTGGAGTATGATTTTTCTATCTTTTCCTTTATTTTTAATGGTACCCAAAATATTCACTGAACTGAGTTTTACACAATGTATGCATTTACACATAGTATGCATTCCACCTTGCATGCTATGGTTAGGTATCAACCAGGAAAATGTGTTTTATTATGATTTATGGTTACTTGTGTCTGGACGCTTTTGATGGAGTTATTCAGTGATATATGAGGTTTGTTTAGTATGAAAACTAATCATGTTTTATGGAAATCAATCATATCTTGTATTCTATATTAATTAAGAGTACAAAACAACATGGAGAATAAGTGCTATGTGGATGCTGCCGCATGTCACAATGACTGCATCCAGCAGGCATTTGCATTGGGGTGGCTGCTCTGCTGAGATTTAGACATGGTGTACAAAAAGGGAAACATGAGAATTAGTTTTAATCTTTGGAAATTTACTTAATATTGAAACCTCTAAATTTCAGAAGAAGAACTATCAGAAAACTTTTGTAGTGTTAACTTTGGGGAATAAGATCCCATCCTCTGATGGTACCTGCTTTATTGAATAGCTTTCCTTGACCTGTAGTCAAACTAGTAGCCATGAAATTAAGCTGAGAAAACCTAGGTAAGTGTACATGATTCATACACTCATTTAGGTTTTTAGGTTGTGTGTGTGTGTGTGTGTGTGTGTGTGTGTGTGTGTGTGTGTGTGTAGAACGTGGGACCAATAAAGGCCACATATACTAGGCAAGTGCCCTACCATAAACTACATCTCCAGTCCTTGTTCAATGATTACATATTGGGTCTTTAGACAAATTACAAAGGCTAGTTATACTAGTACACAATAAAGTTATTTTTAAAAAGTGGTTTCTTTAGAATGTATCCAGGAGATTTAAATGGCAAAAGTCATAAGAAATTAACTAGAAATATTTTCCTGTAAACATACAAAATAAAAGAACCTAAATTTTAATTCTTCATGTTTAGAATTAAGTTCTAAAATCATAATGCTTAGACAGCAGTTATAGCCAAACCATCAGTAACTAATTAAGCAATGTTCCACACATCTGTGGCCTGATGCTAAAAACCTCTTGATGAAAAACAAAACGTGAATTTTGTGTTTGGTATCTGAAAGCCTGTACTTCTGACTAAATGTTAACTGGGTTTAAGCATCATCTTTTGCCATTTAGGGAGGATGGCATAATACAGCACTGTGATAAGCAAACTTACTTTCTAGGGAAGATATTCTAAATGGCTTTGCACTTCACACAGAGATAAGCAACTTATCAGAAAATCTAAGCATGGTAGAGAAACCAGAGCAGGGCCTTGTTAAAACAGCGGGCAGCGCAGATGAATGTCTTATCTAGGGTCCAGGTGTGACCTGCAGCACGAAGCACTTAACTCAGAATGCATTATGGCCCTAGCTCTGACAACCTGATAGCGGAAATATTTCACACCCTCTTTACCTCCCCTAAGTTACCTGCTCATCGGAAGCAACTGTCTTCCATGTGTGCAATGAAACGGAGAAGATAACAGGCTTAGCCTAGCACAAAGATTCTTCCTGTTTGCCTGGTCCTAATATCTTAAAACAAAACGTTCTGCCCTGTTAATTTTTAATTTTTAGTACAAATTAAATTTTAAGCTTTATTCAGAATATAATCGTTTTAAAAGCCCCTTAAGTAGCTCACTAGGTATGTGGGGACTAACTTTCACTAGGTTATATTAAAATGTCCTGTGACTCGGGTTCCTTTTTAGTGACTAAGACAAGGCAGAACCACTTGTCTCTCACACTGCAGAGTATGGAGTCGTTGTAAAGAAGATCCTTGTAAGGAATTCTGCCATTACGTAGTTGAGGGCAAAAGTTTCTGAAATGAAAGAACAACTTTGTCAAAGGCCTATAGAAGTGAAATGCATCCACCAAATTGCAAGCTAATTTTCTAGCCCCTAACTTCTTGATTCACTTTAATGTAATTTGTCTCAAGATGCAAAATCCTACAAAGTAGATCTTATGATGAATGATGATTATGAATATATAAGCAGAAAGCAGCCTCACATTATTCAATTTTCCATTCTGTTACAAATTTATTTAAAGACATATCAGACATTTACATAAAGCAAAATTTACTTGAGCAAAGACTTATTCATGGATCAGGCAGCCTCCAGGACATAGAATCCTTTCCTGTGTCTCTCCATGTTGCCTTGGGTCCTCTCTCTCTCTTATTAAGACTGTGGTCCTTGGATCTACAGCTAACACAAATCTAGTAGGACCACATCTTCTATTTTTATCATAATTACATATGTAAAACTTCCATCCCAGTGGAAATGAATTTGGAGAAACATTATTTACCCAGGAAATATATAAGAGATACATTGCATTTTAATGGCACATGGTCACAATATAAGAGAAATAATTTTATCAAAAAATATACAGCATCAGATGACATCCAAATGTGATCATTAAATAAACCCTTTGGCGACTCTTCCTACAATCAATCCCTTTGCTCAAAATTTGATCTCAGAAAAGATAGAAAAATGAACAAATGTCTGTAGCTAAAAAATACTGGTGTATGCTTTGGTGTTTATTGTTTTCCTGGGGTGTAAAGTAGCTGAACACATTTGCCTACTGTTCCATGATCTTAAACTGAGACCAGGTTTTAAGGCATTTTTTGCATGATATGGACAAGCTCGGCTCTCATGAGAATTTTTTTCCCAGAAAGGTGTGATCATTTTACCAGAAGACAACCTGTAAAAATAGCCATAAATATAGGGCACATAAAAGTTTTACAATGGTAGACACATGACACTATTGATAGAGCAAATCAAAATTTTACCATGGGAGGCACACGACACTGCTGATGGACATTTGATATGAGACATTTGCAGAATTTCAGGTGTCTGTACTTCTTAGGATACTGAGTTGCCACTAGTTCTGTCCCAAGACACTTGAGTGTTTGCTAGTTCCAATGTAATTAGGTGGCTCCCCGCAGGGTACGCTGAATTCCTTAGACTGAGATGAGAGGGCCATCCTGCCTTCTGAGCTGGTAGCTAAGGTCACCCTACCCCCTAACCATGCTTCATGGCTTCTCTCAAGTGTGCTAGGCCTGCCAGACTACTAAAATCTGTGGCTGCTACACCACAATATCAGAATCTTTCAAATGTCATTAAATTGTTGACATTAGGAGCTTAGCATTAGACAAATCAAAAATTAAAAGTACTGTAAGCTTTAGTGAGAATTATACTTTGATCAAACACCTCATTTTAAAGTCTGGTTTGATTAAGTATCAACACTTGTTTGTTATTCATTTAACTCAATTCCAAACCACATCATCATAAAACAGGAATTTGTTAAACTAGACGTTGTAAAGCTGGAGGTTCTGGTGGGGGTGCAGTGGTAAATAAGTACTACTTGGCACATGCAAGTGCCTATTAGAATCACTGAAAAACCTATCATCTGAAAACCTGGAATTTCAAACATGAGTGACAGGTGACAGGAGAGGCCAGGCGTTAAGATCCTTAGCCATATATGGCTTAAAAAATATCTGTGGCTTTAGTTTGTCCTTTGAATATAACCTCTGTTCATTTCTTTCAGTTCTTTGTCTCAACACCAGCTTTTAGCCATGATGCCATTTCATACTACAAAATATTTAGCGACAAGGATGGTTACAAACATATTCACTATATCAAAGACACTGTGGTATGTTCCTTCCAAGATTCATCTCCTCAAAGATCATTCATTTGAGGTTGCTCAAGTAACGCTCAGCTTCACACAACATAATGTTTGTCTTTTTATAGGAAAATGCTATTCAAATTACAAGTGGCAAGTGGGAGGCCATATATATATTCAGAGTGACACAGGATTCACTGTAAGTATTTCATGCAGGCATGATGCACCATTCAAGTTTTAATTGGCACCAAACAATGGATGTACAAAATATGGACTGTACTGTCTACTCAGCTAACTGAAAGAGCGTTCTTTTGTTTCTGGTTATGTTCCAACAGCTATGATTTCATTAAGAGTGTACATTCTTTAATAACTAGTCAGCAATATTTCCTTTCGGAAAGAATTTTATTAGGAACTTTTATGAAAAGTATAAAAATTCTTAGATAACAGTTGGTTCTAAAGGCAAATTTTATTCTCCAACACTTAAAGCGATGAACAAGCTTCAAAACCCTATAAGAAGTGGCCCATAGATATGGAGACCCTTTTGTAGTCATTCCGAGTGATCTGGATTTCATGATATCTCTAACAGCCATCAGTTATTGAAGGATTACTGCCTGCCAGACACTGTAAGGTGAGAAGGATTGCTCTGAGTTTGTAGATGAGAAAACAGATACTCAGAGCATGTAATTGACTTGGCTAAAGGCCATTTAATTAGTGGGAGGTGAACCTTCAGAACTAAAGCTTATGAATCCAAGACTGTTGCTATCAACTTCAGTAGGGAATTCTTTAAGTTCTTTCCTTTCTGTTCATTCTACACACTGCCTCATAAAGCTGTCTTGGAATAGTCATTCACGATGCATTTACTAATCAGAAGACCCTGCTTTGTCAATTCTAATGCTGTGTAGATTAGGGATAGTCCCTTAGTTCTCATAATCTGACTGCCATTAAATGGAATTTAGGGAACAAAGGAAGAGAATAATTTGTCTATCCTTACCATATAGAAAGTATCAGGAACCTATTGATATTCTATGAAATTGTTTGAATAGGAGCCAAAGGAGTTTGGTCCTTATACAGAACAACCATGAAAGTGACTTAAAGTCAGAAAAGTAATATGATAAAAATGAATGGGAGATAGATTTTAGGCATGATAGGTTTGGGAAATGGAAAAAAAACTGAAGGCTTGAAGATCTTGCTATGGCTATAATGATGGCCAGGGGTGACTGAGGCTTAAGCTGGTATGATGACAATGAACTGTGGGCTAGAAAGACAAAGCCACACCTCCTTTCTTGTGTGTCCTCAGCATGAGGCCTGACCCAGTCAGGGTACAGTTCATATTTCTTAAGTGAATCAAAGGAAAGAGTAGGTGTTAGGAAAGATGGGGTGGAATAATTATTATTGTCTATGAGGGAGAGGAGAGAGGCAAGTGGGAAAGTGGGCGGGGCTGCAGTGGCAGAGGTGAAGGCAATACTGGAGACTTTGACAGCCTGGGAAAGCTGCAAGGGACCTTTGCGAGAGGGGAGTGAGCAGTTAATTCACACACTGAAAGGGTGTGGGAAAGGCAGGTGAAAGTGATGACTAGACTCCTGTGACATTATTACAGACATAAATAAACCAGACGTATGCAGGTTTTGAATATGAATGTCATACGGGAAGTGCATTGAGTTCTGTTGTTTCTTTCTTCTGTAAGGAACTTTTTATATATATATATATGACATTGAGGATGCCTGAACGGCTAAGCCCTCCTGAGAATTAAAACAAACCTTGTTTATTCTAAACTTTTCACACTCTATTATGCTCTTCCTGAGAGGAAAAACTAAAGAAAGACAGCTACCTTGAGGTATTCCGATGAATTCACTGAGGAATGGAAGTCATGTCACCAAACTGGATTTTCCACTTCATAGCTACATTAAGGCAGAATGGAGCCTGCACCTGGGTAGTTAGGTAGCAAGTGTTTTCCCCTGTGGCCTCTTCTGCAGCTTGGTGGATTAACATGGCCTATGGTATGTTCATATCATCCATTACAGACGAGTTTTCTGGCATGCCCAGTTTATCTACTATTGGGAGTGTAGAATACATTCAAAATGTGTTCTCAGTCAGACAAAATAAATGACAGTTCTGAGAAACCAGTAAACACTCATAATGGAACAGGAAAAGTATAATATTTGTTTAAATAGGTCATTTTCATACACTTAATGAATCAGAACAAGATATTTTGATCATAAAAAAAGTACTCAGCTCAGTTTTACCTGTCTCTGATGATCTGTAAGTTATAGTAAGTGCCCAAAATTCAATTATGCATAGCAGTGACTCCTATACATAAATATTAATTAATAGTTTCATTAAATGAATGGGATTTTTGCCAAAGTTACTTACTAATATTAGCAACAATACTTTTGTCACTTAATAATCAATATTTAATATTTCCTAAATTCATTTCAGGTTTTATTCTAGCAATGAATTTGAAGGTTACCCTGGAAGAAGAAACATCTACAGGTAATTAGGCCAATTCAAAATAGTATTGATAGCCAGATACAAAGATGTATGTATATGTGAGTCAAATTGAATCATAATCCTAGGTAGATATTGAATGCTTTTGAAGTGTGAAATGTAACAAAATCTACTTGTAAGCTAGGGTAAATAATTCAGAAAACAACATACATGATATCAATATAAAAGTCATATGCTCCCAAAATATGAGCCAACTTAAAATGTTTTCTTTTGAAAAGAACAATATCGGAAATTCTAACAATAATATAAATACTAAATATTTTTGCATGGTAGTAGATACTTCAAAAACTTGGAGTTGAAAGACCCTAACCCTTCAGGCTTAAACCCCCCAAGCCCCAGGAAATAAGGAACTAAAAAGAAAACTAGTTCCAAGGGCCACCTGACTCAGCCATTACTCAACCACTCCTGTAACAATGTAACAATGTAAAAAGATTTCTGTTAAGAGATGTGCTCAACTGTGACTGGGATAGTTGCAAGTGTTCCAGGAAGGACCACTGTGACCTTTGTGTAAACTCCACTCCCACCCTGATACCCCCTTGAGGTTTCAAGAAGAATGTGTATGCGGATGTGACTGTACCCACTCTGTGATCAGACCATGATCTTGTGAAACGAAATTGTATGGGAATTGTAATCTTATGGCTTTTGTGGGTTTTTCCTTTAAAAGCACCTATGTGGCTACAGTAAGATGCGACTCTTGCTCTCTGGAGATGAGTTTGCCCGACCGTACAGCCGCATTAATAAACACCTCTTGCTGTTGCATCAACTGGACTGGAGTCTGGGTTCTTGGGGCATCCACTTGAGACCCTAGATTTTTGGAGTCTAACAGAGTTAATCCAGCACACTTATTCCTAATGCACATTCATTGAGCGATGGCTATGTGTCGTACCATTTTTACTCTTGTAGTGTAATCTTCACTCTGGCTCCTTTTGCGATAGCCAGCTCATCCTTATATTAGTTATTAAAGTTCAATCCAATTGTCCTGTTGATGGTTGGAATAGTAACCAAAAGACTCCTTTCTATATATAAAAAATAGAAACAGTGGTTAACATTGCTGGTGCACCTGTAATTGTATTTAATTCTGATAACTTTATGAAGTAGTTAATATTGTTGGAGTTGAAATTTGAACATGGGTATGCTGTTCTCTAAACCCTTACTGTTAACTCCCTTCCTTCCATTTCCAAGATGGCACAAAAATTCAAGCATGGAATCTGTAAGAGGTAAAACAAACAAACAAAAACAAAACCCTCTTATTCATAGTCCTCTGATCACACCTAGATACATACTCACTTTTCAGTTAGGAATCCTCCTTCTCTGGAAACAGCTATGTCTCTAGACACTACCACCACCCCTGCCATGCTCAAGGCAATCCCAGAGAGAAGGAAGAGAAAGACTTGGGAGGTGGGAAAGCTCACCCTGGCAGTCAGAATGGGCTCTGACACAGCCTGAACCATCAGAAAGGGATTCTGCTGAAGTGTTTGACAAGAGGTCCAGAAGTCTATTATTTATTGAAAGTAATCACTCCATTCCTGAACCACCGTGTGGAGGCACGGAGGAAGGAAAGGTGCATCTTGTGTGGGATGGAGGAGGCAACGTCCTCAGATGGAGCTCCCAAAAGTCCACATGTCCTGTTGAAAGGATGAAAGGTGCAGGAGGCAAATAAAATGTGGCTTCTTATTTCCAGTTTGTTCATTACTGAAGTCCTCTTCCAAACATAGAAAAGAATAGAGACACTTTCTTGGAAATGTTATCAGGTTTCTTTGTGTGTTTTGATGTGAAGTAGAAGAGAGGAGGTGGGGCATGGGAATCTCCAACTACTTCTTAAGTAATTAATGGCTATGAAAAATGACTAGCTCACTCCCATTGCAAGTGTTCGATTGCTCTCCCATTTTGGGAAAACCACAGAGGGCTTCTCCCTCAAAGCTTGTGCCTCTTCAGGCAAAAATGGATCAAAAATCAAGCTACATCAAAACACTGTGATTCCCCTCTACTTTAAATGATATTGGCAACAGAAAAATAGAGTGGGTTTGATGTCAATATGTAAATTAGTCACTTTACATGGAGTAGTACATTTTGATAAATACAATCTCAAAATTTCAGCTTAGCTTTATTTTCATTTCTCTCTAGAATTAGCATTGGAAACTCTCCTCCGAGCAAGAAGTGTGTTACTTGCCATCTAAGGAAAGAAAGGTGCCAATATTACACAGCAAGTTTCAGCTACGACGCCAAGTACTATGCACTCATCTGCTACGGTAGGTGACGGACCTAACACAAGCATTGCCATCTCCCCGCCATTGTCCTCATTCTTGTTGCTCCATCTGATTGCCTCGCGGCATTTCATTTTTTGAGAACCTGTTATATATAAGGATCTTATCAAATGCCTAAGGCTTGGGGAATGAACAGCCTAGGAAGGTATGATTCTCACTTGTTTGTGTTGGAAGAAACCAAGTAACCAGCTAAGGTGTGTACCTCTGTTGGGCCATAGTCATCAGGGCTGAAGCAAGAGCTGGCTGCCTCTAATCTTCTCGCTTTTAGCTGCCATGTTTCACATCACTATGGCGTTGCATGCAGACACCATCTACTAGATAGACACAGAAGGAGAAATGTCAAAACAGAAGTGTTTTTTTTTTTCTTTTTCTGATAACATGGTGGTTCTGCTTTGGCCTCATTTGTGGGAAAAGTATCAAAGCGCAAAGGCCCAAAAACCTGAGGTCTGTGCAATGAAGACAAATTAGCCTTCCAATTCTAGTATCAAATGAAGGACAGAAAATAAATCTTTGTCATTCAATCCTTCTTCTTAAAAATTGGAAGATATTTTGAGTAATCCATTCAAATGTTATTAACAAATGCACCATTGTAGCACAGTGCAGAAAGCATTTCCTGGTTGTTTAGACCATGGTTACATTCTACAAATAATTTGCTATCTAGATAAGTTGAGTTCATTCACATGCTATCTTGAATAAACAACAAGAAATACAGGCTAAGACAACATTACAAACCAATGGAAATGGTGACTACTGGGGCTTTAGTAGAGTCTCTGATTCTATAACTGCTACATTGTCGCCCTAGCTAACCTGAGTTTCAGGGAGTAGGTAGCACACTTGGCAGGAAATTTAACAAAGTGCAGGCCATCCTCCTGTTCCTGATATCAATTACTCCTGTGCAGGTAGGTGACTTAGAGGACAACAGAACCTTTCATTGACTGAGATCTCTACTCAGCTGCAAAGACCTCCTGTGGGTTTCCTGTAAAATGAACAAGAATTAAAACCCTCAGGATATGCCACTTCCCTTAATCCAACCACCTGGCTCTAGAACCCGAGCCAGAGCTCATTTGACTATGTAGACACGAATAACAATTTTAACCCGAATGCTCCCTTCAAGATGTCACAAGATGTCAGTTTGAAATAACACTTCCATAAAATGTTTGGTCAGTGGCATCTTTGAAATGTCAAGAGATTGTTGTTCATGGCCATATGTGCTGATTGTGATTATGGCATTTAAAGGTAAACATTAAATGTCCCTCTCAAGTTATATGCAACATTTTCCAACCCAAACTCTATATTTATGTAACATGTATCAAAAGCTTACATGTCAGGCACACAGCATCCTTGAACTAAGGATGCTGGAGCATCTGTTTATCTCTCTCTCCTGGAAGGCTGGGTGGGGCTGATCTCTTTAGTCTTTCTATTCATAACTGTAAGAGAGGAGTGTCTGATACATTACACATAGGCATCGTGGAGCATCAAAAGAATGACTGGCTTTTGCAAACTCTACCAAGATAGCTGTTTCTTGCTGTTCCATTTGCTGATAAAGACAGCACTGTCACATTAACATATATGCATTTATACCGGTATGCACTCTGTATTTGAATAACGCAATACAGCTCTCCAGAAAAGCATGCTAACACGTTTTCTATTGCTTCTCTCTAGCGTCTACTTGAACCTAAATGTTCACTGAAGTATAGATAAGGAACCAAAGACTAAGCCCTCATCAAAAGTTGGTGGCAGAGTCCTTTCTAGAACTTGAATTGCCTGACTTTTCCACCACTCACTCTTCCTCGGCAGTATGGTAATTTCCCATTTAGCAAAAAATATACTGTGTGGGAAGCATCACATCGTCTGGTGTTTTTGAAGCTCCAGTAAAATGAGTCACTGCACCATCATAGGAAAAACCTTGAAATCTTTCTCTTTAGGGCTAAGAGTAACGCCTCATTATGTAACTTTCAAACTCTCCAAAGGGCTGTTGAGCCCTGGAAGGCAGGACTAATACAGGTAAAAATCATGTCGGTAATGTGGCACAAAAACAGTACAAATAGGAATTTTAGGCATTGATACCGTGTCTCGAGGGCCATGTCCTCATCCTGCTGGGTCATGGGCAGCCTGTCATTGGTTTGTCTCTTAGTTTAAGATAAAAAGAATTGCAGGTTTTCACGGCTAGAAACATATGCCCGTGAAAATTCCATATGATGGATGCTAATACATTAAAGCCTAGAGATTTAAGCTGCCTTGTCTCCCTAGATTCTGGCCCCAAATGTAATATGCATGTGTGTCCCTTCTGATAACTTTGAAGAAACACTGAGTCTCAGGAAAAGCTTTTCAGTTATATTCTCCACCACTCTCAACTGTCACATAAGGGCTGCTGGTTTTGTAGAAAGCCAAATAAAAATCTCTTTCTTCTACTCTCAAGTTAGGCTAGGAAGTAAGGCAGGGAATCAAAATATTAGCTTTATTATTTATAAAAACTAGTAAGAAAAATGTGGCAGCGAAAGTAATCTGTGTGCCTTCCAACACTGTACCCCACAATTACAGTTGTACAAACATGGGTACTGTTACAGAGTTCCAGGGTTCGCCCAGGACGCTTGGCACCTAAAACTCGAAGGAACAAATCAGAAGCATGTTTTCCACAGGGAGAAGGCTGCCAGGAGCAAGCCAGAAGGCCCCATTCATAAGCAGGTCTCCTAAGAACTCACAGAAGTCCCTCTTCCACTTGATTTGAGGCCGAGGACACGACCCTAATGGGGCTCCCTTAAGGTAGAAGGAAGTATCAGGAGTGGCAAGAGCATCTCCCCCAACCACCACCTGTATTACTTTTTAACCCATCGAGTCCGTCATTAAATGCACTCTACTCTGGGCATTATTTTATTCTACACTTCAGATGAGTGCTAGTTACTTATTTATTTATGTGGACCTTGTTAGAATTGCCAGTTTCTACATAGAGAAGCTAAATTTTGCAGTACGTGGTAGACAATGATGTGCTGGACAGAGCCTCCATCTTAAGAATGGATTTATCAGTCGCTACTAAAGATGCTGGTATCTGACAGTTTTCATCCCAGTCCCTAAGTCTGGAGATTGATGTAGCTGCGGCCATATCCAATGACTGCGCTCTGTGCTAGGGGATAAAGACCTGTCATGTTGCCCCACTGAGACAGTTCTGCACATTCCATAGCTTGCTGGAGGCTTGGCTTGAGTCTCTGTGACAGACGCTGAAACCCACCCTCCCTCATGACCCCATCCTTCTTTAACTTCTCAAAGAAAATCTCAATACCACTCTTCCTCCTGCCATAAATTATTAACCCCCAAAACATGACCTAAAACAGCATATTGGAAAAGGAAAGATACTCTATAAAAATTATTCTGCATGTAATAATCACAAGGATAAAACATGTTAGCTTTTGCCCACCAAAACAAACTGAACATTCAACAAATGAGATACAGTCTAGGTACTGATGAGGGTTACTTGATAATACACGACTAAAACTTGTCTAATGCAGTGTGGCAGCTTCCCAGATGGCCATTCACAGCTCCTAAGTTCTCTCTGTGAAATTAATTAGGTTTGAACTCTCCAGGCTCACTCCTGGAAAAGCTACAGCACAGGTAAGCCTTTTCTCACATCTGTTCTTTGATTGGGCTTTGATCTGATGTACGTGGTTTAAATGTAACTTAAAATGTTTGCTTCTCCGTGGTGAAAAAAAAAGTCACTGAAGAGTTAAAAGCTGTACTTGTGCTTGACACTAGTCATAAATACTACAAGCAATCCTGGCTGAAAGTGAAATGTTACTTTTAACAGTAGTCACATTTTTGTTTCCATCCTGCACACAGGCCCTGGTCTCCCCATTTCCACCCTTCACGACGGCCGGACAGACCAAGGTACTCTCTTGCTTCTATCCTGAGCTGTCTGTCATGAGCCACTACAGAGGGCAGGATAGTTGGCCCACCTTGACAGGAGGAAATGTAATGCCATGTTACCATCATAAAGCTTATTATTCCACAGATTTAGATATTGCTTGGATTAAACCTGATCACATGAAGCTTGGTACTTATTGGCAGTGGGTATGTGACATGATAGAAATCGCACCATAGAGATCAATTCTCTCTTCTCCCCCGGCCTTCTAAAACCACAGAGGATAAGAATCAGAAAGAATATTTACACATTTTCTCTCTCCTCAAAAAACAAATAAAAATTCCTGTTTTTCAAGAAGGATTTTCTCCTCTTCCTCCTCCTCCTCCTTCTCTTCCTCCTCCTCTCATCTCATACTGGAAAAAAAAAATCCTAGCCATTACTTCTCTGATTGGGTTCAGAGCAGAGGGTGATTATCATGCCAACACTTTTGCTTGTTTTGCTTTGTGTTAACAGCTCTATCACATTGTTGCCATGTGTGAAAGCCCTGGAATTTGGGGATACTTTCCATTTTCAACGGCTGTCATCAGTGTTCTCCTCTACCTGGAATTTGTGATAGTAGTTAAAGCAGTTCACAGTTCAAAGATGGCCCTTTTTTGCTCTCAGGAGGGTTTTCCAAGTATAAAATTGCCGGGTATTCTTCCTGATGGCTCTCCATTATCCTCTGATCGGCCATTAGACACCAAAAGACTGGAGTTGCTGGAGAGCAGGGATGATGTGGGACGAGCAGATGCTTCTTCCTTCAGCACTCAGGCCTGCAGCTCTCCCTGGACAGCCTTGCTGACAAGTCAGGACACTACTTGGGGAATAGTTTTGTATCAGTTTAATGGCTCAAGAACAGGCGACAATGAAGTCATGAGGAAAAGCCTAGGGATTATGAAGAAGGACAGTGGGTTTAGTTTTATTCTGAAGTTATTTTAACCTTGTATATAATAATGAAATGATTTGATGAACAACAGTTTAAATTTGTTAATTAGACATATTCAACATTCAGGGAGCAACATTTTAAAAGCAATACTACTTTCAAGTCCTGAAGTTTTTGTTTTAATGGAAATCTCCATAGATATTTAAAGTTCATTTTATCATCACTCTAAAATATAGCTCCACTTCCTTTGCTCCATAAAATGAATTTCTATATTCTAGCATTTTTTTTCTTGATGTTCTTGTTATATTCCAGGCAGATACTAATCTTTTTAATGCTTTTGAAGTTTTATTACACCACTCTCCATACACATCCTATATATTTTTATATTTTCCAATTCAAGAAAACACTCAAATTCTTTTGGAGAACAGATCCACCAACTTGTCTAATGAGAACAACATTCTTTTGCCCTGTATTAGTTATTGTTCTCACTGTTCCAACCGAATCCCTCCAAGAAGCAGCTTGAGGGATACAGTGCGCTGTGGTAAGAAAGCATGGCGGCAGGAGCCGGGGGCGCAGCTGGTCAGTCACGTCACACCTGCAGTCAGGGAGCAGAGAAAGGACAAGAGCGGGGAAGGGCTAGACCAGGCTGCCAGTGACTCACTTCTTCTACACTGCCTCCACTTCCTGAACGTTCTACGGCCTTCCGAAACAGTGCAAGGTTGCCACTCGATGGAGAGCAAATATCCAAACACATGAGCCTGTGGGGGAAACATTTCACATCCATACCACATCATATGCTTATCACAAATAGAGGTTCTCAGAGATTCCAGTCCAGTAAGTTGGAACTATACTTTCGAACCTCTACTTTTGACAAACATCTAACACCTATTTCATGGCAGATTCTGTGCACTACATTTTTTTAGGGTTTTGTTTTTTTCCTTTTTTAAACCACTAACCTTTTCATTTCACACCAGCAATCTTCATTCAGCAAATATTGAGCACTTCCTAGATTAAGTCTTATATTATACGAGGTACTATTTCTTTAAAATAACGGGCGCCAGATTGGGCATTACTCCTGCCCTCAAGGAGATTAGAGATTAGGGGGTGATGTAAATATGGGAGCAGACAACAGTGAGAAAATGAAATGTAGGGCTAAGAGAAAGGGCATGCAGGAAATATGAAAGCACAGAGGGAGAGCCCGGGTCTGGGTTACTTCAGGTAGGAAATGTTTCCTAATGGTATCCATTAGACCTGAGATTCTTGAATACAAAAGGCATTGATACTCTTTGGATGGTTGGTTTGGTGGGTGGATTGAAATGTTTGCTTTTTTACTCACAAAATGCTGACTGTGGAGAACAGATCTTTGAGGAGATGATGAAATTTGTTTTGAATATTGAGTTTAAAGTACTGACAGGATATGCAAATCGAGCCGGTTGGCCTATGGCGACTAACTTGATTTGGGGATCTGAATGTCAAAGCAGCAGTTGTACTGAAGATGATCATTAAGGTGTTTGTTGTTAGTTTATGAGAACTTGGTGTCTAGGGCCCTGGGAATGGATGAGATGGGAAGTTCATAAAAAGTGAGCCTTGAGCAAAACCTTTCAGAATGCCATTACTCAAGAAGTGAAGAAACAAAGCCTGTTAAGGAGATCAAAGAGAAAAACAGGAGGTAAACAGCCATGAAATGGGGCTGGGGAAGGGAGAGAACGGGTCTCAAGAAGACATTAGTACACAAATAGCAAAGATACAATGACAACTCCCTTTTAGGGCCCTTTCTAGAGAACAGTGGAGGAGGTGACAAGATTAAAGAGAGGTTGGACCTGCATAGGAAATTAGTGGCTGTTTGTTTGTTTTTTGTTTGCTTTGACAAAGCTAACAGTACTTCCAGTGCATATGTCTTTGAAGAGAGTAGAAAGGTAGGATACTAGCTGGGAGCCGTTAATGTTTTGTAAGACGATAAATATTTGTTGAAGATTGATTGAAGAAATTATGAGTCTAAAGGGGGTTAAAGAATGCTAAGCATAGCACATGGCATGTGTCTGTAACCCCAACACTTGAGAGAGAGAGAAAAAGAAGGCGGGGGGATCAGAAGTTTCAGACTAGCCTTGGCTACATACATAGCCTGCACCATACAAGACCCAAAAAATAGAAGAAGAAAGTCCCTGAGAAATTGGGAAGGGGTGGGGTCCAGAACTATAGGAAGAGTTTAATCTCTTTTCATGGGAAAGTAAGAAGAGCTCGCTGGTAGGTTTGTGAAGGTTTGAAATCCTTTAGGAAAACAATGGATTTCATTTCCCTTGCCATGAGGAAAGTAAAAACAGCAGATTATATTTGAATCAGATACTATGGAAACCCGGAAGAGCTAACACTTAACGCTAAGGGCCTGTTTGGAATCAGTTGCTTTGGGCATCTCAGGTTCTCATTAAACGAAGTAAGTGAATGACCTCACTTACAGCTTTCCCACAGATTCTTCACAAAATTTAATTAGTATGAAATACAGCATTTTATATGACAAACAAAAATCAAATATAAGATCTATCACTTTTAAAAAATCAGTTCAGTTTCATCATAATACAGTATCTACAAACATATGGAGTACAGACTCCATATCTGATACTAGACCCTCAGTGAGCTCAATGAGTAGTAAGTATACAACAATAAGTGAAGGGAAGAAAGACTATGATCCAGACTGTACCACCCCTGACAAATCGATGGCTTATAATGTACAACCTCATGGAGGAGTCCAGATGTCGCCTCTCACTCTTACCATAGCCTAGGAAATTCTATTTGTGTTTTAAGAGGTAGAAGAACTTCTTCTAACGACAGAAGTATTGATTATCTTTTCAATCCAACCTGGTACTTCATTAAGTCATAAAATTTAAAGGTTCAATAATTAACAACAGAATGGCAATAAAGTTAAAAATGATACGATATGATAACACCTTCTATTTCCTGTACCTGTAAGTCAGTTAACAAAAACAGGAATCAATGAGTCCATCACCCCCTCTATACCCTTGTTTCACTCAAGAGTTCGCTTCTTCTGGAGAACTCTACATACATACTCCACACGAGGGAAGGGGGTGGGGGCTGGATTCACTCAGATGTGTGCATTTAACTTCTGTGAGTTTTAACTTCTATTATGTCACGAGTATTTCTTTTCTGATGGGTTACCCAAAGCTAATGTGAAACTTATTATGTCTTTTATATAAATCATACCCAAAGCACTTCTATGTGTGCTAAGATTAAATATAACACGTTTTGGAGCAAAATGCCATGAGCATACGAAAACAGAGAGCTGTACGGGAAGTGGTTTGGCAAACAGAGTGGTTGTAAGTCTCCAGTTCACTGTCTTCAGTGACCACTTTTCAAAAAATGAATATAAACAAAAATCTTCAGGATTTATTTTGTGGCAATTACCATATTCCACAAGTCATCCACTTCTCCCTTTCACATTAAAAAGAAATCTAGCTACATATTGTATAAAAAACTAATTTTTCTCATGAAGATGATAGTATCAAATTAAAACTTATTTTAAAAAGCTTTCTGAATATAAACCCATTGACATGTATTGCCAGTTTATGACATTCAGAGGATCAACTGATTTATTCCATTTGAAACTAATATTAAAGTGTGAAATGTAACTGAGTTCAAGTATGAACAGAAGCTTTTGTTCTGTTCTGAGGGAGGGTCTTAAGCTATAGACCAGGCTAATCTCAAACTCACTTCTGTGTGAATCAAGCTCGCCTTAAACTCACAGAGATCCTTTTTTCTCAGCCTCCAAATCACTGAAATTATGGGCAGGATCCACCACTCATGACTATAAACAGTATCTTTTGGGTTGTTTTTCAGATATGAGACAGAACAACACTGTGTATTGTTTTTTGACTAAGATATGTGACAATTTTTGGGAAAAGATTTTTGAAACACAGCAATTTGTTTTCAAAAAACGGAAATTTCTATGTTAATCAAATATAACAGGAAAAGGTTAAGATACAAATATAAAAATCTCAGAAATGATGTTTAACTCCTCATACTGAATCCATTGGGTTTACAGTCATATCACCATTTCACGTGGGTGGGTCAATGATCCATCCCTTTAGTCAACTTTTAAAGAAGTATCACTTATTCAGGTACATGGCTTCAAATTGAAAAGTACAGTTCGATACGGGAAAACATGACCAAATTAGCATTGTTGTTTTTATGTTTCTGCTCAAAATGCTGGAAATGGGCCTTTTGTTTGTTAGTTTGGTTTTTTTGAGACGGGGGTTTTTCTGTGTAGCCCTGGTTGTCCTGAAACTTACTCTGTAGACCAGGCTGGCCTCCAACTCACAGAGATCTGCCTGCCTCTGGTTCTCCAGTGCTTTGAGTAAAGGCATGTGCCATCACCATGCAGGAAAATGTTGGAAATGTTAGGGACTGTAAGGATCACTAAAGGACACTGATAGAAATGTGATGTCATCACACACTGATATATGCACTAATGGCTGCATTATGATGGCCAACATGAGGTTCCTTAAAGACCCTTAGCCACTTCAGGGTCACCCATACACTGAAGGAATTTAAGAAATTATTTATGCAGATAATATTAACTAATGATGAACATTATATTTTTAAAAGAAATACAAATATTAGAAGAAAACAAGGAATTGGAGAATGCTTTGAAAAATATCCAGCTGCCTACAGAGGAAATTAAGAAGCTTGAAGATGGTGAAATTAGTAAGATCTTTTAAAAACTTCTCACATATAGATGTGAAAGTGAACACTTCTTTCACTTAAAAAAATTACTGCGTAAATGTTATAGTACAAGCCATGTGATATAAGCTCTCATTTAAAATAACGTTTCTGTAACAATATTTAGACTTGTTAAACATTATAATATGATTGTATATACAGTTGGTCATCTACTTTTTCGTAGCTCCCTCCCAACAGTGACATTTAAAAACAGACATTATCTAATTTTAATTTTAGAATATATGATTCTAAAATGAAAAGTATTTTGAGATTTATAGTCATTTGCAAATTAGACCTGAAATATGTAACTAAGTCAATTTAAAATATGTTCTTAATTCTTAATGATTTACTTTGATGATGAGTATTGTTAAAGAAAATAAAAGATAGCATACATGTGATGAAATAATTATTCTCTCTTTTTCTGTTTTCAAAGCATTATGGTACAAGATGATTCTTCCTCCTCAATTTGACAGATCAAAGAAGTACCCTTTGCTAATCCAAGTGTATGTAATATTTTCTTTAGTGTAAAAACTATTTACTGAAAATATGTTGGATGAAATACACATTTATGAAATAGAAAGAACCATTCTCCTTGGTAACAGTTCCTATTGATGCTGTTTTTATATATTCCCCCAACTAATCAGAGTAAATAAAATATGGTTATTTAAAATAGATCGAGGGAGTTTTGAGATTTGAGATGGACTTGCCTGCATTTGTTGTGTTGAATTTCCTTGGGATGGCAAATTGCCGAATGTGTCAGAATACCTTTGAGATAGAGAGATTGCAGCCAAAAAAAATAGTGTAAATCATCTTAACATCTTATGTAATTGAGTTAGAAATGAAATAAAGGAATGGAATACATTTAGTGGAATCACACCCAAAATCAGTGCTGACCTACACACAATTTGCTTAAAACACCATGCATTTTTTTTAGTATATCTTATGTCTGCTTTTAGCAAGTGGCAGGTGGCAGAAATGACGAAAAACCCACACATATTCCTTGAAATGCCAACCCTAGATGTATCCGTTTTGGGGAATAGGAGAGGCTGTGTCCCAAAACAACTTCCTTGTAGCAAACCTCTGGGGGAAGCCTGGTCTTTTCTTGATTTAGAGCCAGCTCTAATGCTATTGATATTGGAAATTTTATCACATAATTGGTCTGGGAATTGTCAGAGTCAGTGCTAGGCTGCTGTGGGAAACTGGGTTTTATAAAAAAATCCAGAATTTTTTTTTTTTATTTTCCTTTAGGTATGGTGGTCCCTGCAGCCAGAGTGTCAAGTCTGTATTTGCTGTTAATTGGATAACTTATCTTGCAAGTAAGGAGGGGATAGTCGTTGCCTTGGTGGATGGTCGAGGCACTGCTTTCCAAGGTGACAAATTCCTGTATGCGGTGTATCGAAAGCTGGGTGTGTATGAAGTTGAGGACCAGATAGCAGCTGTCAGGTGAGCACCTTCTTATCAAACTGTCCCCCACACAAATGTAGCACAATCACAGCAGAAGTTCATCCCAGTACCCCTGAACATGGCAGGTGTGTCCTACCACTGAGCTACATGCCTAATCACGTTTTCAATTCCTAATGACTTGGTTCTTTTGGGGTCTAGTTTCCTGACTAGGAACAAAATTGTTATTAGTTATAGAGGGATCTTTTGGGCCAAATATGGAGGGATTTGTTCTTGGAAAAGGGCTAATAAAAGTGAAGAAAAGTTCTGGGTAGAGGTGAGACATTCCAATGCATTTTTATTTCTTACCATGGCTCACATTTGGAAAAGCAAAAAGAAAAATATTACATAACTTTAGGGATAATCTTCAATAAGTCAAATATCTGAATGTATTCAATCACTGTCAGTCCCACTCTATAATCAGACCTCTATCACACTACATGTTCTAGGCGTTGGGAATTCATTTGTGATTCAACTTGCTGTCATTTTTTTACTATACTAGCATGAAGGTATATGCCAATTTTCATTTGATGAAAAGCCCCTGCTTTTATATAATAGAAATAATATTATGAAAATATTCAGAAGGAAGACAGATCTAATTTTTTCTCCCTCAGCTATATTTCTAACCACAGTTTATGGTTCTATTGTCTTTCTTGAATCTTAGAGAATGTTGTCAGTAAAAATGCTACTGTACTGGACACTATACAGGATTTCCCTGGACTCCCATTGCCATAGTGTGAATAGGTGAAGCTGGTGAATAATAGTTTATCAGTCTGGAAACTACTGGCTAGCTGGCTGGTTGCATTCATAGATACAAATGATTTTTTACATGCAACAACTTATGATTGACCATTGAGTCACAAGAAAGGGCAAGTTAGAAAATTCACTAGAATATTTCTTTTATCCCCTTAGTGCTAGTTTTATTAGCAATATTGATCAACATACACAAAAGAGATTATATTTAACAGCTAAGCTATAGGCCCAGACAGCACTTTTTTTTTGTATTTCTGACTCCAATCAAAGCAGAAAAGTTTATATTCCTATGTAAGCAATTTTAAGAATAGAAGGGCAATCATCACTCATTGTATTCCAAAATGTTTCTTCCATTCAGTGAATAGTCATTTATGTAGAGATGAAGTGTGTTTGATTAAAGCAGTCAATTGTAATATAATAGAGTAAATTAATGATTAAATTGTTAAACAACATAAAAATCTATAATTAACCCCTCACTTCTTGGAGGCTGTGCAATTCTCACTGATCCAGACTGTTGACATTTTTACTATCAATTTATTTGGAAGAACTTTGTCCAGTGGAGAAATGGTTCAAAATGAACTCCACTGGGGTAGCAGAGAACTTTGTGTTTTGCTTTTGTATGTTTGTTTTTATTTTTATTTTTGCAGTATTGGAAGCCAAGCCCAGGATCTTGTAAGTATTAAGCAATCACTTAACCACTGAGCTAAATCCTCAGCTTAGTTTTTCCAGGCTTTCATGTGCCCTGTCAAGAGTATAAACACATTTGTCAGCCTTCTAGCTTAAATTCTTCAGGTGTTTTGTTAGAGGTACATCTTGAGTCTTCTTTATTAGTACTTAAAACTATGCAAAACGCCAAAGAAATATAAACCAAAGACTTCACAAAGGCATGGAGATAAAAATTATAAACCATTGTTTCTTCATTAAGTGTTTCCTAAGGTTGATAGGCCTTGAAGGGTGTTTGTTTTGGCTTTTGCTTAAAATGATCATAATCATATAGTCCACCACCAAAAAAATATGTCAAGGTACTTAAGCCATTGCATCAGAAATACAGTACTCAGCAAGAAATGAATTCTTAATGTCCTCTATTGAAGGAAGTAAAAGCACAGATCTGAAGCCCATACATGGATCTTAATGAAAACTGTTTTTTCTAGCATTCACTATAGAGAACACAGAGCTATAATTTTTACCTTCTTTCAATTTTGCATTAATACCAACACATAAAAGAGGCCTTTGAACCTGATCCCTGGAAAACAAAAAAGCTAAAAAAGAGAGAATAATGATGATCCCGATGGTGGTTCAGCCCCCTGTCTCTCTAAGAAGTGTTGTAGGAATGAGACACCACACACCTGACCCAAGGAAATGGGTTTCTTGACCGTCACTGTCAAATCACCCCAGAAATGAAATTGTTTTCCCTGAATCTCTTATATAATTTGACATAGGTGAATTTTCTACATGTGAACAGAAAACTATGTATGTGTGTTTGAAACAGCAGTAATTACGACTCAAGCCAAGGTAACAAATTTAAACAACGTGAAAAATGGAGGAAGAACAGGCCAATCCAACCTCCTAGCTTGTCTATGCATGAGAATGCCTTTAAGGAGACAGACGGTTGTGAGTTCACAAACACTGGTGAAAAGGGAACATGATTTCTTCAGGCTCCATGGAAAAATGCCACATATGAGAAAAATCATAACATTTCAGAGAGTATAGGGTCATCTCCACACACTTAGAGTCTATTCGGCATTGTTTATATTCTCATAGTTCTAGTTTTATGAAATTTAAGGGTTAATGGTGAGGAATTGCATGAGAAAAAATTTATTATCACACTTACAGATGTTGTTAAAAGAAAATTTCTCAAGTAGTATAATTGATCACTATGATTCAAGAAACACTTAGCCGAGAGTCATTTTAATATGGAAAAAAAATAATGTGACGTTCAGTCAACCTCTAAGATGAGAAAAACATCTGACTCGTTTGTTACTACGTCTGTGTTGATTAACCCATATTATCAATTCTTTCTGATAACCTTCCAGGAAGCTTTGGAGATTTTGGAAGTGAAATTTATAGAGCCTTGTTGATCTCAAAAGGCCCATATTATCTAGCTAACCTTTAACCTAGTCCTGCCACATTAAGTGTTAATGTTTCATTTCCATGTTAACCACCTCACTATCATTTCCTGTAAATGTCATCCTTTCAGAAGACACCTAGGAAGGGCGTGGATAAGAATTTCCTGCTCCCATGTATCACCTGTTATTTGCTTTGTGCCCCAGATGCAAGGCAGTATGACTGTTAGCTTCTGGGAGATCATAAAATCATGAGCAATTTTATGGCTCAGGACCGTCTTCCAACACCAGTAGCCAGACTGTTTTTTTTTTTTCTTTTCTTTTTTTTTAAAAAAAAAAAACAAGAAAGTGAACCTTCTTGTCCCTCATTTGGGTTTTGAAATTTGTGGGAGAATGGCTGAAGGGCCACATATTTTTGCGTATCTGTTCACTTTCCCTTGATCAGCTTCCACACAGGTAGCAATTTTCCATTCGCTACTCCTCCGTTTCTTCCCTGTACACTCAGTGTCCTTCAGAATTCGTGTCGGGTAAGCTGTGACTAACGGGGCCTCTTCCCATCTGTTTGTCCCGGGCATTTGCCCAACTCCTCAATGCGTCAGAAACGTGCATGCTGAGTCGATGTAATGAGAGAAATGGTTGCTATAAAATCCTTTTAAGTAACTCTATGGAGCTGGCAAAAAGGGCTCAGAGGTAGAGAGCTAGCATAGTCTACCTAAAGACTTGGGTTCAATCCCCAACGCAACAAAAGTAAAGGAGAAATTCATTATTCAACTAACAGAAGACGCTTGTGTTCTACTTCCGGAGAACTCATGAAAAAGCCATTCATAGAAACCAGAGACCACACCGCTGTATTTTCTGGGGCTCTCACCATGGGTCCCTCCCTTCCAGCTGCTTACTGTGGTGTTCTCTAGAGCCCGCCCACTTCCATCACACCTTCTTTCTCTCTTGCTTCTTCTCTCTGCTTCTAAAATTTTCTTGATGCTTCATCAACCCATTTCTCCAAATAAGCCTAATTTTCTCTGGAATACTGGAGAATTGAGGTACAGGTGACAGGCATACATTGCTTTGTGTTGTCTAGAGGTTTCCTGGGACTTTTAAAAGTTACTTTTCTTATAGTCCATTATTCCCAAAGAAAAGAGTATTACCAAAAGGTTTTGAAATTGTGATGGAGACAAGCAAATCATTTCAACATTTTAAAGGATACACATAATTGTCCATACCATGGTAAACTGGGGGGCTCCTGTTTATGAATGACAAGAAGGATGGATTTTTCTCTGAATAGGACTTAAAATGAAAATGATGGTTATCAACAACTAAGCAAATAAGGTGATACAAATTTAATAAAAAACTGAATCAGCAATGAAACAGAAATCCTTTCCAAGACCCAAGGATTTGGAAATTTGGTACTGCTTAGTGGAGCCATTGTGTTCCAATGGGGCAATCTGAGGACAGGCTTTGAAAACGCGATTCAAACACTGGGCCTGAGGTCCTGAGATCACTACAGATGAAGAACAGGGCCTAAGATGATCCTTTTATTCTCTGCAGAAAACATGGTAATATTATTTTAATTATTTGTAAATGCAGCCTTATTATGCACGTGTTTAAACAAAGAAATGGAGCGTTTCTATTAAATCTTTGGATTAAATATGCTTGTGTAATGAAGTAAATGTCATGTGTACACAATTAAAATTCTAAAAATTTGTTTCTTTCACTTTAGAAAATTCATAGAAATGGGTTTCATTGATGAAAAAAGAATAGCCATATGGGGCTGGGTGAGTTGTTTTATAAGTTCTCTGCCTGTTATTCGGTTTGGTAATCCTCGTTTTCTGAAGTGTTCGCTTAGAAGGTTTTTTATGAAATGTCAGTGTTGCAACATAATTTAATCTGTCAATAGAAACAGTCAATTTGGATAATAGCAGCTCTGAAGTGGTGGTTTTAAATTTTTGTTCCTTTCTTTAATTCAATTCATTCTTTGTATAACAAATGAACTCATAATCGACACATTTTTACTTAGTTTTTGGTGCTAAATTATAGCATACTGAACTGAACTATGCCTATCAAAGGTTTGGTTGCCTCTCTGATTTGGGGATTAATGTTTATTGTATGTTTTATATTTCATTTTAATGAAAAGCTAAGCTAAGGTTTGAAATGATAGGAAATTTCAGTGTAGAAATTGCTTAGTATCTAACTCAGTGTAGCCCTACCAGGGCTATTAGGTATTTCTCTTTGAGGACAATCAGATTCTCCTAGTAGACCCAATGTGAACTTCTGCTAATTTGAAGAAAAGTGTTCTTTGGTTTCCTAGCTATCGGTCACAGAAATGACACTCTCCCACATTTGAGGACTGATGTATTTATTGAAAATAAACACAAAACTAAGTGGCAGGAGTTACCAACTGTGGGCAATGAAGCCACTGGACGATCTAGGGAGATACTGAAGAGAGTTTAGGTTTGCCCATTATAAGTTATGATAATTACCTTTCAAAGAAGTTTCCCTGCTTCCCTTTTTTTTTTGGTCTAAATTTGTACATTTGAAGTCAGTTTGCAGTTGGTTGTGCTTGGGTTGTTTTTCTTGGCTGTTTTCTCTGAGAGAGGCCTGCACAAGATGGACAGAATGAAACACAGCATTGAAAGGAATCTGCAGGACTCAGCTCGACTCCCGGCTCAGTGACCAGATGAAGGGCTGTTAGGAATTTGGAGAAAGTTGTTATTTCAAGCCACTTGGTCCTTCTTAAAACTATCAAATGTTATATATCTAAACAGAGTGAGATTGAAATGGGTAGAAACAAATGAAATACTTTAATAGGGGAATAGTTCAGATAAGACCTTTCCTACCATCCATTTTTTGTGAGATCCCTAAAGCAAATCTTTGACTGAGTCTCATTTTAAGCAAATAACATATATAATCGTTAACCTTTTGCTTAGAGCTATGCTTTGATTTTGCTGTGGGCTCTGAGTAACCATAAGCTAGAACTTTCCATTTCATTTATAGAATATGGTTATTTATTAGTTTGGTAGAGACTCTTTTACGTGGGATGATTGAAAACCCACACATCACCCAACATCACATCCATGTCAGCCCAGAATCCTTCAATAAGAGACTCTTACTATATCAAATTGTGTAAATGCCATCAAAAGAAATAGTATATTAGTCTCCCTGCACTGCTTACTTTCTCATGTGGCAGTGACCATGAAGCAGACTGGGAGAGCATGCTTGAAAGAAGAAAGCAATGAGTGGATTGCCAATGCCTGCCATGCCTGAGTAGATCCCAATCAGCTGGAGGAAACAAGGTGCAAAGAGACATAATATTAAGCCTCATTTTGTATCAGTTCTTCAAGTTTTGGACAACTCCATTCTTATTAACCCATACATCCAACCTCTGACTCATCCATCCCTTCATCCTTGTAAATTATCATTATATCTCAACTAGATCCTGTCTTAAGCAATCTATTTTATTTTTTCAGACAAAGTCTCATGCATCTCAGCTTAACTTTCAGCTTCCTATATATCCGAGAATGATCTGAAACTTATGATCTTTCTGACTCCACCATCCAAGTGCTGAGATAACAGACATGCACTACTTTTCCCAGTTTTATGTGGTATTAGAGATCTAACTTGGTCTTCATGCATGCTAAACATGCACTATACCAACAGAGCCACATCCTCAGCCCTCACGCTAGGTTCTTTATGGATGAAAGGATGAATTAGTTATAGATTAGACCCTAATATGGAGGAAGAGAATAGAAAAGCAATGGCTTATCAAGAGATATAACTCATTCTACAGAACAACAGAAAGAAAAGTCATTCATTGTGGCTGTGAGAGCTAATGGTGACGTTGGAAATGAGTCAGTGTCTTTGATAGGCAAAAATAGCTTAGTAAATGGGCATTCCAGAATGTGAAGACCACATTTATCCTGGTCTTGATAAAGCAAAGAAACTTGTGTGAGTTGGTCGAGAATCCATTAAAACTTTGAAAGTCTAAGGAATCATGAAGAAAAGTTTGGAGATATGTCAGGAGAAGTAGGTCATCAGATAATAAGAGCCTGTTAAACCACGTGAAGGGGAATGTGTGTGGCTCTTTGCATTCTGTATCTCTGTGATCATCGCAGTCCATAAGTTCTCTAAATGTTAGTATGTTTCTGAGTGTGGCCTTAACCCATCTATCAGTACTCTGTAGGTCATTGAGCAAACGCTGTGGTTTCAAAGATGGTGACGGTTGGCCACTTGCATCCACTTTTCTCCTGAGTCTTATATTTCAGTTGCTTACCAGTCATCTCTCCTTCAGGAGATGACTTTCATAGGCTTCGAACTTTATTTACCTCAAACTAACCTTAAAAAAAAACCTTCCTCATTATTAAAGACCTTCATCTACTGAGTCATCCAAATTAGAAAGCTCAGAAGAGCTACTTCTTACCTTTAACCTCTCCCTGAGCCCAACATTCTGTTGATTAGTGAGTTCTTTTTCCACTTCTAACAGCTAAGTAGCTACTGCCATCCTCAATGACCTTGTTTGATTTCAATTTCTTCGTGAGTCATTAAACCAGAACTTCTCAAATGTAAGGTATGTATCACCAAAAAAGCTTGTTAAAACACAGTTTCCAGATCCTTACAACCAAAGAGTCTGCTCAGGCTCAGAGTTTGCGTTTCTGACCAGATTCTAGGTAATACTGGTGCTTTGGGTCTATGATCTCAGGTTGGACAGTTTCTAATTAAGTTATTTTAATTGTTTCTTAACTGTCAACTTTGGTCAGGCCTCACAAACTCCAATGCTGTTTAAAATGTTGTCATTCTAAGGCTTTTTGTTTGTTTTTTATTCTTTTACAATTTTATATATCTATACAACAAACTTTGGTCATTTTCATCCTCTCTCATTTCCCACCATCTTCCTCCAAAACCTTTTCCCAACAAGCCTACCTCATGCTTGCATGCCCTTTGGGGCAATTTTGGTTTTATTTTTTGATTCACTGATTTTTATTAAGGTTGCTTGCATGAGCATGAGTTGTGGGCAAGTATTTACCATGATATAACACGGGCAATATTTCAGTGGCTATACCGCTAAATAGAATGACTCCCCTCGGGGCTGGAGAGATGGCTCAGAGGTTAAGAGCACTGACTGCTCTTCCAGAGGTCCTGAGTTCAATTCCCAGCAACCACATGGTGGCTCACAACCATCTGTAATGAGATCTGGTGCCCTCTTCTGGCCTGCAGTCATGCATGCTGTATACATAATAAATAAATAAATCTTAAAAAAAAAAAATGACTCCCCTCCCCTAACAATTATTAACTGCTGAACATCCCACAGAGGGTCAGGTTTCATGAACCCAGTCCTGTGCAGATCTTGTTCAGGTTCACCGAAGTTACTTTGAGACCATGAATACAATGTCCATGTCAGCAACTTATCCCCATCCTTGGTATCTTAAATCTTTTCTGTCTTCTCATCCAGTCTACAATGTCCTCTGAGCCTTGAAGGAAGTGATATAAATGGCACTTACTTGTCTTTATTCTCAGGACTTGTGAATCTCCACATTAATTACTGCTCACTCCAAAAGAAAGCTTCCATGACAAAACATGGAGAGCCGTACTAATTTGTGAGCAGAAACATCATTTTTAAAGCCAAGTCAGATAACATGTCCATTTAGCAAGACAACCGTTGTAGAACCCACCCTTTGACCCTCTTAGTCACATCCTCTTGAGCAGGCCTAGAGAATGGAATGAGCCTCAAATAAAATCAGAAGATTGTTAATTCTGTAATAGTCATTCCTTTGTTGTACAAAGGGAATGCATTACCTAGCTAGTCATTGTTATAGTGAAGCACAATTTTTAATATGGTATATTTCTACTTATATATATATTTTAGGGTTCCATTGTGCCCACAATATAAATAAAGAACATGTAGTCTTGCATACAAGGCCCTTGGCAACCTCACTCCTGCTACTTTTTCAATCTTTTTTCTTCCAGATTTTATAAGTAGCCAAACAATGGCTGCACTTTCCTGTCCCTATGGTTTTATAAACTTCCTGGTAACACTTCCACACACTTCTTCCATTACTCACCCTTTCCTCTCTCTAAAATGGAAAACTACTTGTTTCTGAAGACCCAGCTCAATTTTAACAACCTTTGTGTTGCAGTAACGCTTTGTACTCTTCTTATAGTAACTGGCATGCTTTATCAGGCTATTGGTTTTTCCCACAAGTATTCAAGTTATTTATGAGAATGGACTGTATCTTTTTCTCAGTCTTTTTTTCTTGAATGTTTAATAAAATATGATGCCATGTCAAGCATCTCTGATATGTGGTTAAACTGAATTTAATCCTATACCTTAGCATTCCCTCAAAGTTTGTCCCACTCATATAAGGATATTTTTTTTTTCAGGAAAAAATTCTATGGTCTAACAGTTTGGGAAATAGATGTTTATTTACAATAGTGTGTTTAGGCCCCATGGAAGACTAGTAAAGAAACTGCTAAAAAATCTTTAACCCAAATATATTTTATTCCTCAATTATTTATTCCTTCTTTTTCCTTCAACACTTATTGACAGTATGAAAACAGATGTTTTCATGGACATCTCTTTGAGAAGTGCTATTGTCGTTAATAATATTACTGTATTAGTGTCTTAGAAAGACAATGTCTTAGAATAGAAGGTGGTCTGAGGATAGAAAGGGGGCTAGAATGTTAACACTAGAAACAAATTGCAAAGGCCTGCAGGAAAGCAGAGAAACAGGGGTTGGAAAGAGGCCTTAGTCTTTTCCCGTAGAGACGAATAAGTCAGAGCCTATTGGAAACTGGAGATGTGAAGGAGGAAGTCATTAAAAATGACCATAATGGCTGCTCAGGTGTTAGTGTTCCATATCAGGAAGGAAGGTATTTTCTCCTATGTAATATTAAGTATTTCTGTGGCCCATCAAATAAGTCATGCCCAACCCGACAAATACTATTTACAATTGGTTTGTAAATAAGCTTCAAAATCCTACATTTTCTTCCAAGATATGGTTTTTGTTTTTGTTTTGTTTTTAAAGAAGAAAGAGGCATTTTCAACACTGCTTTTCATTAACTGAACCATATAACCAAAGATTTACAGCTCTCATTTTAGGCAGTTGCTAAATATCTGCTATGTCTCCATCATGGTGTTTAAGAAATTCCTGTTCATTGTAGTGATTCCTGATGGGGATGATTTTGTGCTTGGGATATTTGGCAATACTTAGAGACCTTTTAGGTTTTTACTCTGGAGAAAGGCTATTCACGTGTGGGACAGAGAATAGGGTGAAATGCTCAACACTGTTCCAGAAAACATATCATCAATAGTGCTAAAAATCTTGACTGCAATGAAAAACTGAAGCAATGTTCGTATTGTTCAGGAGGAGGGAGAGGTTTGCCTAAACTATTAGAAAAAGCAGCTACATTTTCAGGATTTGCTTTGTTAGGATAGACCTAGCCAGGTGGTGTTGAATAGGCATCAGTGCATTATTTAATCTTAGTTCCTTGCTCTTGCAGTGACTAATTATGAGCAATTTGAATTGCTATGTGAGGATGATGTAAATGTAGAATGAATACACTTCTAATGAGAGACCATGTTAGACTATATTATTTCTGCCAGAAGAAGTTGCCCTGGTGTGGGAAAACAGGAAGTGTCATGGGTTGCTGGGACAGGCCTTCAGGTTTGAGCCCCAGCTCTGGTTTTTACTGACTCCACAGCCACTGCAAATTTACTCTGAGCTACAGCTACCCCATTATGAAATGCATCCGCAGTTTTCTCCCATGGTCACTGAAGGGATCACAGGAGATAACAATGGAATCCTATTTTCAGTCAATATGTACTTTATCCCTCCTGTATATACGGCCATTTTTTCCCCAGTGTTGGGAATAGATCCATAAACAAAATAAACAAAACTCTCTACTCACAGATTTGGAGAATAGTGGGAGGGAAAGTAAATAAGTACAATACAAAATGTTGAGAGATGATAAGGGATATTTAAAAAGTACAAAATAAAACAAGAAAGGAGGGTCGTGAAGGGCTAGTATACTTGCATGATTAGATTTCTTTGGAAGTTACATTTGAGTTAAGACCTGAAGCAGAGAGAATAAGGTGTGAGGACAGGTACTTCCTGGGGAAAGAGCTATCCAGGCAGAAAGTAACAGCATTTGCAAATGTCCTGAGGCCAGATCCCATTTCCAGAGCTCAAAGAACAACAAGAGAGCCAAGGAACAAAGTGGGAGAAAGGAGAGGCAAGGGGGGAGGAGACTGGATGGGTAAGGATGGGGCAGAGGGTGTGGGACCTCAAAGAGCATCGCAGTGAACTCCTGGGCCAGATAAGCGCTAGCTAGTTATTGTTATTGTTGGTTGGAAAAATGTCCCAATGTGTAAAATAGCTTAAATCCATACCCCTGTTTAAAATTCTGTGCCCTTCCAGGAATGATTTTAAAAGCATCCTTCATTTAAACAAAATGGCAAGGCATCTAAGTGCAAAGGACACAATTCTAGAATTCTCTTGGCCAATCTGCTCTGTGGGTTCTTTTCTTACAGCAGCCACCCACTCTGCCTAGGAGCCCCACTCCTGAGAGAGCACAGAAAGTCAGTGTGGTTTTTTTTCCCCCTCTTCATTTCTACAATAGGAATAGCTTTTCCAAATCACCCAGACACTTACAGCCTGAATTTCTCATGCTGTGCTATAGATACAGTATGATTTTGCTATCACTAATTCCTAGACAATATTTGTATTCTATCTGAAAATGGAAAAAAAATCTATTTAAACATGGTCCTATAACCTAATCCTGAGTTAGTACATATTAATAATGTCTAAGTTTCTAGACACAAATGTTCGAGAAGATTTTTGTAGTAGAAATTTCAATGTCACGCCACGCTATTCTCTGCTCTTGAACATGGAGAGGAAAGGTCATATCCAATGTTATTATTTTAGTAAATGCTCTTTTCCAATAAAATCATAAACAATAGTATTTAATGAAGCTCTCAGGTTTACTCTGCTCTCATTTAAAATTAAAATTAAAGAGGGAGGAGTCCCTTTTCATCTAGGAGCAGTTCCTACAGTCCTACTAATTAAAGCAAATTATTTTCATAAGTGAAATTTCAAATCATATAGAGAATTTCACTTACTGAAGTGATTTTAAAACCCAAATGTTCCTTCTGCTTTTAAAATATATTTTCCCCTATTAAAACCTAGTTTAGTTCTCCTCCAAATATAATAAAAAGAGGCCATGGTATAATTGGAGTAGCCTATTTTATTCTGAGTTTTGCAGCCAAAGGCCCTCAATAAAATTCCCCAGAGATGGAAACATAAAACCACAAACTACTTAGAGGATTCTTCATTTAACTGTTGAATTCAACGCAATTCTTAGTTGGTCTTCCAACTCCTTATATTTCATGGGTTAAGAGTGGGCCCACTGGCCCCACTTTGCTCCAACCACCTCCCATTCCTGTCTAAAGACTAACAGCTTAGGAGGAGGCATGATTTGCTTGACCACGGTGGGGGTGGGGGTGGGGGGGACGGGGACGTCACAAGGTCCCATGTGATGTGAACAAGTGTCCCTGCACCAAGGCACAAAAAAGCACAAGGAAGACTTTTTCATCTCCTGTGAACATTGCTTTTAGTCCACATTCCAGGAGACAACTTAGTCCATGTTCCCAGGGGAGCATCTCTTCCAAGCATATCTGTACAGGCAAGATTTACTTTCCAAGAGGAAATGAAACCCCCTTGTGATATCCTATTTGGTTCTCCCCATTTTTGAAAAGAGTCAATTAGCCAAGTCACATGGAAATTCTGTGTGCAGGGTGAAACGGTCCCTGATTCCTTGAGGAAAGAACTCTGTGAAGACCTAAACTACTCCCAGCTCTGCCCTTCTGTCTCTATTAGTATTTCTTTACATTCTTGGGAAATGTGAAAGAAGAAATGTAAAGTTTTGAAAGACACCAACAGTTTTCCTTCTTTTGAGCTGCTGTGTCAGAATGCCTCGAAACGGCATGTGTAACTCACTACACAGCACCAACTCCAGCCATGCCCTGGTAATGAAGGCGGTAAAAACGGAGCTACCAATTCTGCCTCACAGGACTTTTGTGAGCTTGAGAAAGTATCATACATTTGCATTTGGAAACAGTTTCCTCTTCCTGTACATCTCTTTCCAGTAGAAGCATGGGGGGTTTGTTTGTTTTTGTTTTGCTGTTTTTTTTTTTTCTAACAAAGTCCTAGTTAAAAAGATCTAAAAATGGGGGGAGCAGATTTTGTGTTTTTTTATAGAAACCATGTAATTACATTTATCTCTTAAACTTTGCCTGCCCTGTTTTCAGGGGGTTTGTTGTGATCAGGACCTTAACTTTTTCCTGATTTATCAGAGATAAAATTACTATTGGTGCTTGCCGCTGGGGTGCTACTCTACAAATACCCCCAGCTCTCCTCTGTCTTTATTGTGAGTAGATTCGATTTAAAAACACAAAGAAGCTTCTGAGCATGTCTGGAGCTGACCAATAACAATGTCTCCACAGTCCTACGGAGGTTATGTTTCATCCCTGGCCCTTGCATCCGGAACGGGTCTTTTCAAATGTGGAATAGCAGTGGCTCCAGTCTCCAGCTGGGAATATTACGGTATGGAAACATTTCATAAATGTTGCCATGAAAACATTTAACACATAATTACTCTATATTTGAGGTTGCTAGGAAAACAAATTATGTGGTAAAGTTCACCCCCAGCATCACTGGAGAAAACATCATCTATAAAGGAGGTTGTTCATGTAACCCATTATTATTTTGCTGTAACCACCTTTAGTGGTTAAGATCTCTTCAAGATCTTAAGAGAAGGATTCTTCAGAAATCCAGTATATCTTATTTTGTCCCAGAAACTTTGAGCCCCTGTTGAAAGAAATCTTTAACACCAGAGCTAACTCTGTTTTTGAAGGCACATAAACTCCAGAAATGATGGCTTTTAAGCATATCTTTTGCAAAGTCAGGCTAGGGGCCAAGGAATTCACCTTCACACTACAGTTGTAGAGCACAGCTCCTTTATTTCACAAGTCAGAGAAAAAAAATACACGTGTGTGGAGAGTGTGTGTGTGTGTGTGTGTGTGTGTGTGTGTGTGTAGTTGGGAAGTATGCATTCCTGTGTGTGTCTGTTTTCATGATTAAACTCAATACAGAATGATTATTTGAAAATAACTCTAATAATTGTGCAAAAAATTTTTAAAAAATAGCTTTTTCTAGACTCTCTTTCCCATGCTGGGGTAAAAATGAGACATTCATGCCTTACAAGGAATCTTTCTTTATTCAGAAAGGTAGGTGTGTGTTTGTGTGTTTGAATATGTGTGTATGATGTTGAGCCGAGTAAACCTGGGAGACACATTTCCATCCCAGATGCAACAAGACACCGGTGAAGGGACTAGAGGTGGTGGATTTTGTAGTTTATTTTAAAATATAATGAGGCCGTTCCCATCTCAACATTCCCCCAAGGAAAGTATGTGAAGAATCTTAAGAGCAGCCTGTGAAAGGAAATGCTTAGATACTCATGTTTCTATAATTTTCTGCATTGTTTCTCCAGCCTCACTGAGGTGAGTTACCTAGAGGACACCTTCACTGAGGCCAGCCATGACATCAAGTAAAACAAGAGCGTGCCTCCACATGGGAGGACAGGGGCACAATTACTAATGGAGGAGTTATGTAAGGTAGTGAAATGACATGTATAAAGTAGAAATAACATATTCTGATGTATTTTCATAGCATCTATCTACACAGAGAGATTCATGGGCCTCCCAACAAAGGATGATAATCTTGAGCACTATAAAGTAAGCATTTCCCATTGCATCTAGGTCACTAATTTATTTCAAATGTGTTAAGTAATTTTAAAACAGTGATTCAGAGTTTTGCAGATTCAGTTCTGGATCCCCAGGCAAAAATTATGATCTTTTGTTAACTGGAAAGCATCACTAGAATGAAATTGTAGTCTTTGGGGATTCTATTCTGTCACCATCCTCCTTTCCCTAACCTCCTTTTCCTCATCTCCCCTCCCCACCCCCAATGCCTACACAGCTTGAGCGGGCATCATTTATGCCTAAGGTCTCACTCATATGTAACATATGACACATAAACTTTCAGTTTTTCAAACTAAGAATCAGATGGAAGTAATGCAAATGATGATGAAAATGTGTTGCTCTGACTCTTAAATATTTATCAACCAAAGCAATACATAATTTCAGTATTGGTGCGAAGTCCATTGCACAATGATTTAGCTAGTTTTCTATTAGAACTTGCAGCAACTAAAATGTTAATTTTTCTTCTTTTCCAGAATTCAACTGTGATGGCAAGAGCAGAATATTTCAGAAATGTAGACTATCTTCTCATCCACGGAACAGCAGATGGTGAGGTTTAAGCAAGACTCTTACACATAAAAATACTGAGCCAGCATCACTTTGTTTAAGAAACATTAAGCATCTTCCTATGCCTGTGCTCAGGGTCAGTACCTAAGAGTCAGGGACATTTCCATATCTGAGCGTGATCACTCGCTGCTGACAATGTCAGATGCATGACTAGATAATTGTTGGTGTTCATTTCCAGGCAGAACATTGTCACTCTAGGCTTTCTGGTGTTTAGCAGCACTTTAACTCTCTCTCCCTCTCTCTCTTTGTTGCAGATAATGTGCACTTTCAGAACTCAGCACAGATTGCTAAAGCTTTGGTTAATGCACAAGTGGATTTCCAGGCCATGGTACATGATTCTGTTTTACCCTTGTTCATGCCCTTTGGCCATCAAGCTAAAAGAAAGGGTCTTGCACACACACACACACACACACACACACACACACACACACACACACACACACGTTATTTATTTGGTAAAACCTGAAAACACAGCTGGTGAGTAGAGAAAGCAGCATATTAGTAAATGAATCCTGGACTTTTTCTGAATCTTCTTAAGGGCCGGAGGTAAGCCAAATCACCTGTGTCATATAAAATGACCGGAATCATATAAAATAAGGTAATTTACAAGATTAAACAGCTCAAATATCTAATGGTTCTGCAGCCCTGTGTGCATAAGTGTAGATACATCCAAGTTCCTACAGAACCTAGGAGTCACAGAGCAGCTAAAAGGTTCTGTTTATTCAGGAAGAAGCATTTGCAAAATGTTATCAGAATCTCAGTGAATTTCCACAGTTCCATTCAGTTAGAGAATCAGTTCATCTGTGTGTGCTCAGTGCCTGGCACATGCATTCCAGGTTGCAAGAAGAATGCAGAATGGGATCAAAGGATCAATAAGGTCCAGAGTGAGAACAGTTCTTGGTAGATGCGGTTTCCCGGCTTCAGTAAATGTTTTTTTCTCCCTCAATTGCTTGTGTTGGACAGGACTTCAGGAAGGGAGTTCCTTAGCTTTTAGAAGTTTATATTTTTAAAATATAATTTACAAGAAGTGAGATGAAGTCTTTATGGCCTTTGTTTATTGTGACTTTCTAAAAGAACTCAGTAAATTTATAGCATTACATCATAACCTTTGTTACGCAATGAAGACAATAATCCTACTTGAATCTCTCCAACAATAAAGAATAAAGTTATGTTTCATCCCCTCTTTTTTCTTTTACAACGATGTTTTAAAGTCCTATAAAAGGTATTTATGGTTATGTGTGATATATTACATGATGGATTTTTCTGAAACAGAGAATTAGATTTATAGGCCAAAAGCTTCATTGAACTTTTGAGCTACCATGATCCTAGGGAAAATTAAATATAGTGTTTTTACATTTCACATGAAAAACCAAAGTGCCAAGAACCCAAGTAACAGACCCAATGCACCAGTTCTGGGACCCAAGACTCTCGATTCTAATCCCCAGGACACTGGTCATTAAAACAGCTCATCCTTTAGGATGTTAAACCTACAATTAAAGAATATAAACCAGTACTGGATGTTGATAAGAACTCCACTTTTTCTTGCTCCAAATGTTTTCATGCAAACGATTGTATTTATTCAAGGGTTCTTAAAATAATCTTCCATAAGTATTAGGAAACTTACTGTGATTTTGGAGCACAAGAAAGCCAAACTAGACATGTTTTGTAGCTCCAGGAATGAAACGTGGTTCTTTCCTTTTGTTGCAGTGGTATTCTGACCAGAACCATGGCATCTCATCTCGTGGCTCCACGAACCACTTATATATCCACATGACCCACTTCCTCAAACAATGCTTTTCTTTATCCGACTGAATCAACGTGGGTATTAGCCTATACCGCAATCTGACAGCTTCACGTGGACGACTTGGACCGTGAATATTGTAAAGGCCGCTGATAACTACGGAGGGCTCAGAAGTTCAAGCTCAATATTGTTTACATTTTCTTATACTCTGGGAAAGAAGAGAAAAAGGGAGCCACGCATCTCACTTTGGACACAATGTTTTATCTCTTGTTCACTTTGGGGGAAATAAAGTCAGAAGCTCAAGTTACGTCATGTCGTGTGTGTGCACTAATTTTGGGCTGTGCGCTCTACTGTGGAAAATGCTTCTACAGGAAAACTACATGACTAGTATGGTGGTCATAGATGAGGATAAACTAGATGCCATTTGGGGGTTTTGTGATGAGAACCCCAAATACTGGGACAAATAGCACAGAGTACAGAAAGGCACAGTTCAGGACATGAAGTGTATCAAGTCTGAGATGTCTGCACTTTCTGCTGTCCCTCCAAGAAATGTTTATTAACTTTAATTCCAAAGATTCTCCCCAACATTGCCAAATGTGTTAGGTAAGGATAAAGACTTTTGGTTCAAGCCTCCTTTTAAGAAATACATTAAATCTGGAAGTGATATTACTTTGAATCTCTGTAGAATTAGTAATAAACTCTACCTTAGATTACTAAGTTAAACCAACAAAACTAAAATGGACAACAATCTCTAAACAAGGAATTTTTTATATCTGTAAGAGCTCTCTGAAGTAGTACACTCTAAAGTTCATTTCAAAGACCAGAACGCTATAATGACAATCACCAATAAGAACCTTTGGGTAGCTTACCATCTCTGTGATTGCCTGGGAATTTAAAAAGAGCCACACCAGGATACCAGCAGACACATGGGAACAAATTTGGAAGCATCCACTAAGCCACTGTATGGAGGGTACTTCATTTATGTTTCCCAGCTCTGGATTGCGAATACCCTGGGTATTCCACCTCTACCCCAAATTTAAGTCTTCCTTTCTGGTTACAGGTTCCATGTCCTCAAAGACTCTTCTCAATCCAAGCGAGGAATGGGGTGCTTGAAGGTTCACAGGTCACAGTATTTTCTAGATTTTTCAGACACTTCTCATCCCCAAACCCTTTCTACTCCCCAGTCTTGAAACCTTCTCATTCTCACCACACAGTCTTACTTGCCACAGAGACAGGACTGCAGAGTAGATACTCGAGCTGGAAGGCACTTTACACATCCAGAAGACTGTCTCTCATCACACAGACTGGCTGAAGTGTTGGGCCACAGAGAATGCTAATCCCTGAGTTTCAGTTCTCCACAACACAGTCTCTGAAGCAAGCCCAGAAGGGTCTTCATTGTTTCCCAGCTTGGGAGAAGAGAAAAACCAGTAGGCATTTCCTAGCAGTACTCTGCCTAAGAGATACAAACAAGATGACTAACGGAAATCTTACATCGCCTTTGTGTGGGATTTGAAAAACCAGTTTCTATATGAATGTACAGAAAGTAGCTTTGAGCCTCAGACCTTTGCTTCTGTGTTCACAGAAGTGACTTCCACAAGACAAATCCAATCAGGTCATTTCCCTACTTAGAAATATCCAGGGATTCTCCCTGTCTACAAAAGAATCTTTAACCTCAACTGCACAGCACATGGACACATGGAGCCCATGACAGTCTTTCCCATGCAGATTTTTCCTAACCTTACTCCGGTCATCAGTCTCCATAAGACCTGAATTTCTCCTAAGATACCACATTCCTTCACATCTCACCACGCTGTGAAAAATCTAGTGTCGCCACTAACCACTTGTGGCTATCTTCATTTAAATGATTAAAAAAGAGATGACATTAAAATATATCACTTTAACCATACTGCCATGTGGAGTAGTAAGTACCATGAGAGATACTGTGGACACAAGCTACTTACATCAGCACAGGAAGCAGTAATGAACCTATAATACCCTAGAGCCATGTCCATGGCCTGAATCCTACAATGTATTAGAACAGAGAAAGCTCACCAGCAGTTTATTGAATTTACACCTCTATACTTTTGGGAGATGGAGGTTTTCTGCATCACTTTTAATAAAGCTTAGCCTGACCCCTTAGATAGAAACATCTAGATCTTCCCTGGGGCTTTTACTGTATATATGTTCATTCATTGACTGGTTCATTCAATAGACATTTGTTGAATCTGGCTGTGTACCAGACATTGCAATACACTGAGGAGTGAAAGGCAGGAATTTGACTAGAAATTATTTAATAATTTCATTTTATTCTGCCTCACTAAATTATCCTCTGGGCTTGGAAGAGTAGAAGGACTGTAAAGGACAATGGGAGCTATTTTAAGTAGAAAATGCCAAATTAAAGGGATACTTCTAGAACATTGTACCTCTTTTCTTTCAAAAAAAAAGGAACATACTAATTCTTCTATTTTTTTTTTCCACATTTTACTCTGGGATGTATTTGGAGAGGGATGTCTCAGTGTTACAAAGTGCACATTACAAAGTACCCACCTAACACGACCAAGAGTTTCATCAGTTCATTCATTAACGGATGCAAATCACTATTTGATGTACTATGGTGACTAAAAGAAAAACAAAACACTCATACACAATAAGAGGAAATCATAGAGTTATTTAAAAAGATAATTTCATTTCCCCCACTGTGGCACTGGCCCTCCAACCACTTATAAAGATTTCAAAGTTTTAAATGATAATCTAGTATTTCTTAGAGAGAGTGAGGAAACAGAAGCAGGTGCATGAGAAATTTGGTTAAACTTAACACAAATGCAGGAACTTCTACTGACGTTTTAATAAAAAAAAAAAATCTACCTCGGAGTACAAAGTGTATTATTTATTTCCTTCAAGGAGCATTTACTGACTCCCTGTATTGGCATGGTGTGTATACTTCAGGGGTTACAAAGATGAATGCATGTGACAATTTCTCCATTTGTAGACTGTTTCAGGAAAGGCAACTTAACGAATCTGATTTTCCCAACATTTAAGCATTTTTTCAGAAGCTGACAGATCTTTATGCAAATGTTGTTGCCAAGCTGTTTGTAATGGTGAAATTATACTTTGACAGTAACTCTTTAAAATATATTAAACCCAGCTAAGGTTTTTTTGGAAATGTTGCCAATTAAGTGACTTTAATGAGCTTCTTGATGGTAATGTAATTAAAATTCAGATGTTCTAATTGTTTAAAAAAATTAGTTCTGGGAAAGTAAAATAAGCAAATGTAAAATGAATTAGGACTAATTTAAATGGTGATTATGTGGTCTTCTTAGAAGATTGTACCAAAACAATGCTTTCAATTATGCTGTTTGTAAGGAAGAAAGAAGGTACCTAACAGAGATTTCAAATTGAATCAATAAGGCAGATATTCTGAGTTTACCCAATAAAACAGATTGAAAGATGCAGTAAACCCTTCACAGCCTGAGAAAGCCCCACTGCAACACTTCCTTGGCTTAATGGACAGGTACCTTGGCAATTTCATGTGGAATAATTTTTAATTCAGGGAGAAATTAGTGCCTGGACCTCACCAAGCTATTCAGGGAGAAAATGATCTGGCTTTCAGGAAAAGCCTCTAATGACCACCTGCTCGGATCATTGGCATGCAATCCCAGCATGCTGCTCACAAACACTTCTTTTGACACACAGGTAATGTCTTTGGCAAGCTAGAGCGGTATGATTCCATTTCATTGGATTCTAATTAATACTCCATTACTGACTACTTAAAGAACTGCTTTGACACCCTATGTTTTAACAAATATTTGTTGGTACAGCATGGCATTCTTTGCTCTGTGGGTTCTGGACAGCCTGTGTTCTGTGAATGAGAGAGAGAGACACAGTCAAGCAGAAGTCACAGCACAATGGCCTGACAGCCCAGCTTCCTTCTTTGGTAATTACTGTTCATTGATCTGCAAAGACATAGACGTCTGTGCCAGTCATTAATTACTGGGAAACAAGAATGTTTTTTCACTATAATAGAAAGTAAACTTTGGAAATATATGCCTTAATGAAACACATAATAGGACATAAAACTGATTAGTATATATAAAAAAATCACTCACACATGATTTAAGTTGCTATTGAACAATGCTTTCAAATAGCCTTTGAATGTGTTATAAACGTTTTATATCACGCTGACAGTAAGCTACTTTTCCAATGTTAAGAAGTGATTATTAAAATACATTGTATGAACTCTTAAAGAACTAATAAAAAAATCTAAAAGAAATAGTGGCTAAATACAGATTTCAATATATACAGCGTTTTGTACCTATAGGAAACATTATTGCTATCTTGTTTCCTTTAGAAGATTAAAGCAATGCACTTTCCATTATAGAAAATTCCTTTTATTTCAAATTAAATATAGCACATCTCACATGCCATTCTTTTAATACAACCAGTTCATAAAGGCTCACTTTAGAAGAAGTCCACTATAGATAATAAGGTCATAGGAGCCAATGTTAGAATGCTTGGTTTAAATCCCAGTTACTAGCTATATGAAATGCATTAACTTTAATACATTCTTACTGTTTCCTTTTCCTTGAAAGTGAAGCAGACATAATCATACTTCCCATTCCATTGGAAGCTTAAAATAGATACTATTTGTAGAACTAATGATGTCTAGCTCATAGGAAAATTTGTGGTTGTTATTTAACACATTAAAAAAACACTTTTTGTTGTTTTAAAAAATGTAACTCTTGGGAAATTGATAGCTTGAGTCTATAGTCAATAATTTCTTTCTCATCTCAACAAGTTTAATATGGGTTAGAATCCTTACTTATTTATATGGAATTCTCCACATACTTCTAGAACAATGGCCCTTTAGGAATGACTAACATTAAGGCTGTAAGTCTCCAGGAAGCTCACCTGCCTTGGCACTTACCCTGAATACGTGATTTACTCTTTTATCTCAGCCACTATCTGTCTCTAAAGCCTAAAGTTTGATGTGTGATAATCACCTTGGAGGAACACAAACTGCCAGAGCAATATACAGGTGAAGGCCCATGCATCCACTTCTTGTGTGGTCTACAACACACTAGAGAGATGCACTTTGATGACCTTTGTGAGTTTTGTTCATCAACCTTATTTGGGTTTTAGAACCTAGGACATCTTTTATCTGCTTAGACCTTGGTTCTGTCCTTATCTAGGTCTCAGCTTAGATGTCACCACTATTGAAAGAATGTCTCTGGCCACCAAGTTTAATGTTGCCTTTACCACAGTCAGAACCGTTCACCCACATTCCCTACTTCTGCTTTCTCGACAAAG